GGGGAAGGGAGGCGGGGCCTCCACATCATCATGATCCACTCGAGCCGGGGGCCTAGTCCCTAGGTGCAAACCCCAACCAAACAACAGGGGGCCCCCCAAAACCCCGGAAAGTCAACCCCGAAACGGAGGAAACGGGGGAAAAAGGGGGACCCAGGGAGCCGCCCCGAAAAGGGAAAACCAAACAAGAGAGGGGAACCAAGGCGCACCCCGGATCAGCCCAAGCCGCGCCAATTTTCCTCGCCTGGTGCAAGTCTGGGCCTGCGCTGTTCCCTGGGGGGGGATATCAGCGCCTTCGGCAGCTGTCCCCCCCCCGGGGTGCGCTGCGCATCCGTTCCGGATGGCCGCGGTCCTGGATGGTGTGCCGGAAGATGGCGTTGTCCCGCATCATCACGCGGCCCCCTTCGCGATGTCATCGATGCGCTTGAGCGCAGCAGCCTCCGGATTCCGCAGAATCAGCTCCCAGATGGCATTGGAGACGTGGCCTGTCTGGGTGGTCTGGCTGAATCTGAACCTGGGCACCTTCTGGTCCACGATGGAGACGTCCCGCAACGGGGCCGAGGGCTCCACCCGGCGGTAGTACTCCAGCCGCTCCTTCACCCAGCGGTTGTAGAGGCCCTCCGGCGGCTCGTCCAACACCAGCTGCAAGATGGCCTTGCCGGCCCGGATCTGGAGGAGGCGGGTGCCCCCTCCCCCGGCACGCCAGTACCCCTTACAATACTTGCACATGTAGCCCCCCCGGGTCTCCCCTTTTGTCTTCGGGATGAGTTCCCACGGGGTGACGGAGCTCAGGACCAGGCCACACTCCATGTGCGCCCAGAAGACATGCTTCATCTCCACCGGATAGTTCTTCTTCCGGTAGTCCTTACCCACCACGCCGTGGACGTTGTCCGCCGTGATGGGGGGGTAAACGATCCCCTCATCGCCCTCGCCTCCCCTGGGGCGGATGTCAGGGCCATCGGCACCTGTCCGGCACCCAGGGGCGGAGGGGTCCAGGCCCATCAGCTTGATCATGTCGTTGGTGTAGCCGAGCTTGCGGTAGATGGAGGGGGCCACTGAGTCGGGGACTGCGCCGACCCACCACTGCTTCGTGTTGCAGCGCCAGTTGACCTTCACCTCCGCCAGGGCCCCCGGGCCTCCAATGCGGTCCATGAGGGCCTTGTACACCTCTAGGAACTGCTGGAGGCTCTCCACCGGGACCGCCACGTCCTGGACCGGGAGCTGCATCACCTCCGCCGGCGGTGTCCGTGAGGAAGGCCCGGGCCGCGAGGACCTTGCCCATGGCCCGGTAGACCAATCGCCACTCCGGTCCTGTCTGCGGAAACGGAAGGCCCTCCTCCTTCAGGAAGCACCGCGTGTCCTCCTTCAGGGTCTCCCAGCCCTCCAGGCGGGTCTGATTCTGGGCCTTGTTTTTCGGGCCCCGCTGCCTAGGGCCCTGCAGCAGTGGCAGAGACTCCCAGACTCCCCAGAGCTGGCGCAGGGTGTAGCTGTGCCCGAACATCCCCAGTAGGCCTGGGAGTGTCCAGGACGAGATCTGGCGCGTCCAGTGGAAGTCCTCATCCGGATCGTGGGGGGCAGCCCAAAAGATGGATCGCAGGTCCCCAGGGTAGGGTCGGTCCCCCGCCTTCGCCTGCTGGTGCAACTCATCAACGGAGTACCTGGCCCAGGGGAGTCCACCCACCTGGTGGTTCCTGGGATGCGTACCCTTCTCCAACGCCTCCGGATTCACCTTGGTGAGGTTTTTCGCCCAATCCGGGACGTGTACCGGGCCCGGTCGTCGGACCCAGCGGCCCGCAAAGATACGGACCTCTCCGACCCGTTTGCTCATCATCCAGCGCAGGACCGAGAGCTGCACCTCCGGGTCCTTGGTGTCCAGGCCCACCGGGGTGGCGGACGGCTTGTCAGGGCCCTCGGCACCTGAGCTCGTCACGCCAGAGCCCGAGGCTGGGGGGATGGTGGGCGGCCTGTCAGGGCCCTCGGCACCTGGGCCGCACCAGAGCCCCCCGCCTTTGGCATGGGGATCCCTGTCAGGTCCGGCAGATCTGACAGGAGGGCCGCCGGGAAGGGATTCCTACCCAGCGAGATGACCGCCTTGGCCTCAAGGTAGGAGTCCGTGAGGGATGTGAGGTCGTCCATACTGAAGTCCCTCCATGCCGTTGTCGGCTCGAAGACCCCAGTCTCAATGGCGACCCGGACCTCACTAGGCCACGCACTGAAGGGAGGCGCGATGGGCTCGAGCATTCTGGTTTCGAGGGAGCCCTTTGCCTGTCTGGCTTGGTGTTTCGCTTTCGCCTCCTCCGCAGTGGTCTGGGCCTGGAGGAGCTCCGGTGTGGGTCTCCCCCAGTCCGCACCCAGCTTGTCCAGCAGCTTCTCACGGAAGAGGTCCAAGTCCAGGTTCTTCAGGAGCAGGCCTCCATCACCTCCTCCGTCAATGGCCCCCCCTTGAAGTTCGTGGAGGACCGCCGCGGAGCGCTCCACCGCTTCCACCTGGTCCGCCTTCTTGGCCTCCTCCTGGGCGATGGTGGTGGCGTTGAGCCGGGTCTGAATCTTGAAGGCCTTCACCGCAGACGGGTGGAAGGCTCTGCATTCCTGGCCCTCTTCCTTGTCGCCTGGCAATGGGGGCCTCTCCCCCGGTGGGGCCGTCAGAAACTCCTCGTCCAGCTCCATGGGGCAGTTCCTGATCACCGCCCGGACCGAGGAGGGGACGAAGTCCGAGAAGCTGGCCTGGTCCGGGTTCTCGCAGGCCATCGGGTCGGTGGCCAGCTCGCTGACGTCCACCGAGGCACTGAGCTTGAGGTCGCGGGCCCGGTCCGTGTCAGGGCCTTCGGCACCCGCGGACTGGGCCGCCGTCCAGACCGCATTGCCCTGGTCATCCACCGTCAATTGCCAATGCGTGCCCGCCATCTCCAGGGTGGCCGAGTTGGTCGCCGTGTCAATGGGCTCCGTCTTCTTGCCGCACCCCATGCACTTCGTGGCGCCCTTCCTCACCCAGGGCATGGTGCAGCAGGGGCAGATCCAGGATGTGGGCACGGCGGTTCTCCAGGCCCCCGTACCCCAAGCCAGCGCGCTTGCCAACCTGCTGTCCCGGGGTGCTGAGCCGGGCCTCATGCTCGTACTTCATCTTGGCGATGTAGAAGGCCTCCACAACGCGCTCCAGGCCCCCCTGCTTGAGTTGGGGGCCCTCAAAGCCTCGCAGGAGCCGCTGGACGTCCTTGGCCTGCAGTCGGCGGAGCCTAGTGGCCGTGGTCGCATCGAAGCAAGGGAAGTCGCCCGCCATCTGGTCGTCGCTGAACTGGTAGAGGCCCTCCGAGACCTTGAGGGCCTTGGTGAACACGCTCCCCCCCGGCGGGGGGGCTGCGGGGTTCTCATCCTCCTCCGAGGACGCCTGCTCCTTGACCTTCGCCATCAGCTCCCGGCGCCTCTGCCACTTGGCGTCTGCCCGGGCATCCAGGCGGGCCTCCTCCAAGCGGGCTGCAGCCGAGGGGGACCTGGGCATCGGCAGCTCCTTCTCGTCCTTCGCCAGGAGCTCCTCCATGGGCACGTCCTCCTCCGGCGGGTTCAGGAGCTCCAGGAACGCCCCTGGGGGGCGTGTCAGGGCCTTCGGCACCTGCGCCACCCCAGGGGCTGCATCTTCCATCGGCTCATCCTCTGCCTTGCGCTTGGCCGGGATAAGGGGGGCCTGCTCCAGCTCATCTGCGCTGGAGAAGAAACGCTCGTCAGGTGCCTGAGGGACCTCAGCAGCCAAAACGGTCCATCCTTCTTCCTCCCTCTTCACGAGGCTCGCCAGGTACTTTGCCATGGAGGCCTTTGCCTTAGCCTTGGCCTCTGCTACCGCGGCACCAGCGTAGGCGGGGGCGTACATGGCTTTGAGAGTAGGGGAAAGAAAGATTTCAAATCACAAGACAAAAGATCAAAAGGTCCACTTGAGCCAAAATGGTGGCCCAAGTGGATACTTATTAAGAGTCAAGACAAGCGACCACCTACGGTTAACGCTTTAGCCCAGAAAAAAAAAAAAAAACAAAACAAAAAAAAAAAAAAACAGTAGTGTTAGAGTCCCTTCCTATCCAACAGGGGAAAAGATACGAATTGGTGTTCCCCTGGTAAATGGAAGAACACCCCTCTAAGCCAGTTTCATCTAGTACCCAAACTAACCTTAAAGGACACCACAGTGGAACCTGACACTTGCCGCTCTGAAAAAAAAGGCGCGGTGCATTTTGCCTTTCGCTCTTGTACATGAAAACGTAACTTGAGTTGTCCAAGAAGCCTGGAACCGGACATCTTTGGAACCTGACCGACCGCTGGAACGCTGTTACAGGACCCTGCTGGGTTCCCTGTTGGCGTGGCGGGTAGGCGATTTTGACTGGAAATGACCCACAAAACCAGCAGCTTTGACCTAGAAGCAACCACGCACATGTCCAGCCCACAAAGGCCTTGCAATTGCCCAGGAGTTTCTAGAAAGCCCCCATCGAATCTAGTAGAACCGAGCCCCCGCAAACATGTGGAACACATGTAGGAACCGAGCCACCTTCCACAACGACCAATTCGCGTGTTGGGGCGCTGCTCAATCAAAGGGATGTGGTTTTTTGAGGGTACCGTTTTCTGCTTGGTTTTTACGGGGATGCCACAAGGAAAACCCATGGTGGAAGGCCACCTGTGGTTCATATCCTGGTTGCTCAGAAGCTCCTTTACATGGGGTGACCCTTAAAAAGAACACCGAACGATGACGTTCACCACATGGGAAAAGTTGCCCCTGGTCATTTTGGGGCCGCAAGGAATATTTCTCAAACGCCACATCCCTGCCTCCATTTAAATCATTTGCTTTTTCGCTCCCTGGACATGTGTCAATATGTCCACTACTAATAAATACCCTTTGAAGCCAACAGGGGGAAGAAAAAAAAAGCATTCTTAAGCAAATGGAAGCCTGCAACCGAAACATGAGAAAAAACAAGAAAGAAAAAAGAAAGAACAAAACAAAAAGAAGAAAAACAACTGGGCCCCCCTGCGATATCGACCAAGGGCGATGCCCCGGCCGGATTGTCCAGGCCACCTCCCTCGCCTCCAACGAAAGGTCTGCTGGTGATACCCCTGGGTGCGACTTTTTGGAGTTGCTACCCCTGTTGAAGTTAACGTTTGGAAGAAACAAAAGTAGTAGAACACCCCTGGGCTGGCGGGGGGGGGGGGGGTTCTACCTGGTTTGCCCGCAGGTTCTCCCAAACATGCCGGCCAGGCCCACCCCACTGTTGCCTGGCCCAACATTCTCTCACGCAGTGATCGATCTCATGCCACTTTTGCTTCGGACCTCGGGGAGGCTGCTGCGGAAAGGTCTGCTGCTTCAATTGCTTGGATGGCATCCAATCCTTGGCAAGCAAGCAAGCAATCCGAGAGCAAGCAATCCGAGCCCAGCAAGGAGAGGGCCTTTTTGACGGTCCTGACCCGTCGCGAGCAACGAAAAAGAATCCCTCTTAGGCTGCTGTGGCTCCCCCCGCCATGGCGGCCCAAAGCACCTGAATCAGTTTTGCGTCTCTGAAAATCGGGAGGGCCCCTTTTGTATAGGTCTTACCGGAAGAGAAGCACCCACAAAAACCCACCAGCGCCCAGCTGCCAGCGCCTTCAATCAAGACTCGGGTGCCATGGGAGGCTTGCCATCATCAAGCGACAGGACGGTCTCTCCGCCGGGCTTCGCAGGCCTCGAGATGTGGAACTATCAGTTCTGTCACTGACTTCTTGTTCTATCTATCTCTGTCCGTCCGTCCGTCCGTCTGCCAGCTTGTTTTATCTCTCTCTGTCTATCTCTCTCGCTCTCTCTCTATCTCTCGATTGATATGCTTATTTGCCCAGTTCTTGATTTGTCCGGCGATGTTGCTTGCTATTGGGCTGTGGCTCAAAATGACAAAACCTTCAAGAAGACCCCAGGTGTTAGCCGTTTAGATCCCAGGCCCTCCAGCTGGCCCCTGCTAAAAGTTTTTGCTCTTTGGCCATGGGTTGCTGAACCTAGGGATTTCGATCCCATGGCGTGGATGAACACATCCATTTGATTTCCACCTATTTTGATGTTCACCAGGGTTTCCTGGGTTTTTACCCACAGCCAGTTGTTGCTCAACTTACCTTTTGGTTTGACTTCGGTGTTCTGAACTGTCGGATTTCTTTGCCTCCACTGTCTGTGGTTCTGATGCTCCTTCTTTTGGCTTGGATCTTTCCAGTCCCCTAAAAGCCCCAGGGCATGCTGAGCCTGGCACATCGCGCCAGTCAGGGAAGCATGATCACTTGATCCATCCAGGCGATCCATCGGTGCCTCAGCGTACCGGCTGCTCAAGAGTCTCAAGGAGTGGCACCAATGATTGAAGGGGCTGCAACTCTGCTCAAGGCTCCAGAGAGAGAGAGAGAGAGAGAGAGAGAGAGAGAGAGAGAGAGAGAGAGAGAGAGAGAGAGAAAAAAAAAAAGAAAGAAAGAAAGAAAGAAGGAGAAAGAGAAAGATATGACCTTTTGAGTATGGAACACCCTAAAAAATGGTTGGGGGACGACATAAAGCCAATCGTGCGCTGTTTGCTGATGTCTATTCTACTCCAAGGGGCGATTCAAATTCATGCAGGGGTCACTGGATGTCAGGTTCCAAAATGGGGAAGGAAGGAAACCCTCCCTGTCATGCCCCAGCGTTTGCCGGCATCACACCCCGCCAAAAGCCATCGGATTCATTTGCCTCAGCATCGCACGGTGGGGTCCATGTCACCAATCACAAAGATCTTCTGCTGGTGGTTCACCTCAGCCACAGGGACTTGGCGGGGCTGCCCTATTGGCTTCACCACAAGGCGCTGACCCAGGCTACATTGCCCACCGGCGCGTCATGAAAGCTGCGACCGAATGGCCTGCGCAACAAGACCAGTAACAGAAGCAAATCATATGTCGTTGCTTACTCTGCTGCGCCAGTTTGGATTGGCCTAGTGACGGACATCTAACCCTCAAGTCAGTGAGCACTTTGGGAGTGCCTGGAAATGGGTGGACCCGCGTTTGTGTTTGGAAGCCAACCATTTTGGAGACCCCTACTTTGAGACAGTCCCCGCTTTTTCATTTGTCTCTCACTGACCATCCCGGCCTCGGCGGGCCCATGCCATGTGGAATGTCATGGGCATCAAGCAGGGAGGCTTGGTCAGCCTGGCCAACGCCACGTGCTTAAAGCCTCTTGTCATGGACCCCTTCAGGATGCACCCTAATTTTCTCCAAAGCTAAATAGTAAGAAGAGGAGCCGCCAAGTAGCCACGCCCGGTAATTTGGGGCCTGCCCCAAAGCGGGCGGCCTCCTTCCTCCGCAGCCGGGGCGCCTGGAAGCTACGGAAGCACCACGAAGGCTCCAAAGGGAGATGTGTGGGGGGGCTCGTCTTTTTCTGGGCCTCAAAAACACACCGTAAAAAAGACACACCGAGGTCGGCCCTCAAAAACACCCCGGACATGTGCGCCGCTTCGTGGCCGCTGTTGTGATTAGAATGCCAAATTAAACCGTTGCCATTTGCAGGGGTATATGTTAAAACACACCCAGATGGGTCAAATGAAAATGTACATTTGAACAAAAACAGTCAGGCCACTACCAGTGCTTTCCTCGCGTGGTTCCCTTTGGGGCAGGCTGGCAGGTACTGGCGCTCTGTCAATAAACTAAGAACAAATGAAAGCATTGTCTGGTATTCACTTGGGCAGTGCCCAACACCCACTCCACTGACTTTGGTTCTACCCAAAGAATTATAAAGGCTGTCAGTCTTACTGCAATCCCCATAACACCACGACGTCGACCCGCTCCTAAACTAGTCAATGATGGTTTTGACCAATGCCCAGTGGAAAATTGGGCGGGTGCCCCAAGTCCTTTGCAAGCTAGCAATAGACTACCAGTTATACTCCACACTAAAAACTACTTGTGCCGCTCCTTCCGGGGAAATTTAGGGTTCGTGACTTTTGCCAATTTCCACATGCGAAACACAGTGACTCATTTCAGGTGACCTCCACAAAAAAAAAAATGCTGCAAGCCATCCACGCCTTCGCAACAGCGTGGGCCTGGGCTGTGGCAAGCCGGAGTCAACTAGGGGTGTCCAGCGCCCTCTTCATCCATCGGAGTGGTTTTTCCTTTTTGTCTTCTTTTTTTCGGGGTCCCGGGGAAAAGTCCTTTGTTCCAGTTGGCTCAACTACAAATCATCCGGGGTTGTGTTTGGAGGGATTCTCAAAAGTACGTTTGGGGGGGGGGGCTTGCCTTTGAACCAACAGAAAGATTGTCAACGGTAATTGTGAGGGCGTCGCTGCTATTGCTGTGCCAGTGGAATGATCCAATGGCTATGTGTCAAAATAGCCCTAAGGATTTGTGTCTATCCCTTCTTTTTGTGTTCGACGCGCCCACAATGTATGAAACGAAATCAAGCCTCGGGGCTGTGGTCACCCTATGGTGAGACACGCCCAGATTCCGGATTGAGGAGTAAGCTTTTGACTCTGGCTGACTTGCGTCTTTGGTTGCTGCCGCTGGATGCTCACGTATCCCATCTCTGCCGTCAAAGATTCGTCCCCAGGTTTCGCCGGAAGTGGTCAAACTGGGGAACTGTTTTTTGGTCGGGTTTATACTCCTACAGTGGATGCTTGCGAACTCCGTTTCGCACCACCGTTCAGAAACCCGGGAATGATGCGATTCCCCTGTAAATACCAACAAACAATGGTTTCCAATGGTTTCAAATTGGGGCAGGATTTTATCCATCCACAGCGCCAAGAGGAAGCCGAACCATTTCACGGTTCCCATCACCCGCGAGTCGAGTTCTCTGTTGGGGTCCGCGCGATGCCCAGGGCCAGTAGAAGCCGCACGCGCATGGGCATCGCCTGAGAAGCCAAGCCCTTGGTAGATGGCTGTGGCTCAAAATGAAGGAGCTGGGGCAAAGCGCAGGTTTTAGTCTTTGGTTCCATTTACCAAGGGGGCCATGTTGGTACTTCTTTTGAGCCACAGCCAAATGGCTATGGGTCAAAACCCAAATCGTACCCCCAGTGAACATCCCAATCCAACCACTAAAATAGGTTCTAAAATGGGTGGTGCACCTATCCCAAAATGGTACCATTGGTTTTGAACCATGGCCAAATGGTGTTACAAATCGCGTCAACCCCAGACCATAGGTTTCATTAGGGGGATCAGAAGGAGGTTGCTTAAACAAGGCTGGTTTAAGAGTGCATCATGGGCTACTTCTCTGGAGATGGGGCCTCTTTGGCCTGTTTTTAGGGTTTGATTGAAACGACCTATGATGCTCCCTAATGAATCACTGTGTAAGTACATACTGGAAATTCCTCTGTACCCTGGCTTCAACATTCGATAGAGCCACAATGGGTTAGCCAACCTGTTGGTTGCAATCTTACAGTTGGACAGGGAATCTCTGCTTAAACAAGCCTAGCGCGATGCCAAGATCAGAAAATAGTTGCGATGAGGACATGTTGGATGGATCGACTTGAAAACTAATAGGACGTCTCCGCACCTGTGCAGACTCGGCACCAGCCATTCTTCGGGTCGCCTCCTCAAAACCATCCAAAGGAGTGAGGCTATTTTGTGGGGACCAGGTTTGTAGCATATGAATAATTCATTTGCAGGGCTTAGGGTTCAGGAACGGGGGGGGGGAGGGGTTGTAGCAAATGAATAATTCATTTGCAGGGATTTTGCTTAGAAACCCACGTGGCCTTGCTTGGCCAAGACCTGAACATCTTGGCACGGCACCTCCTGCTTAACAAACCCATGGCATGGTGGTTTACACCAATTTTCCCCTCAGAAACGGTCCGAGAGTCCTCCGCTTCGAAAGGAAACACCTCCTCCTGCGAAATCCCATTTCGCAGCACCTAAGACACCAGAGGAAGGCATCGCTGGGTATTTACCGGGGGATCGCATCATTGCAGGGATTCGGAGTTCGGTGGTGCGAAACGGAGTTCGATTTCAACCATCCACAGGTGACCGTCATCTGTGTAGGAAACGCATGGTCCGCATGGATATCCTTAAGCGGATTGCTGAAGCCCATGAGCACCAGGCTTCAGCGCGCCATGCGCGTGCTGGCCGCTTCGTTGAATCGGCTCAGCACTTGAGCCAAGCTGCGGGCACATGAGGCAAACGGGCAAACGACTCTCGGAGAACCAATGAGGGTTGCTCAAAAAGGAAGGACTGGTCTTTCAACCCTGCATTTTGTTTTGGCATACTTGTTCATGTACATAGAACATGCATACTGCCAGTGAGTAGTCATGTGGAGGACCTGTCAAAATTGGGGCCTCTTTTTCGTACTCCCTCCTTTGGAGGCAGAGCTTTTGCAGCACCAGGGTCTCAGAAGAAACCGGCCATACCAACACCCATATGCTCAAAAAGAAGGGAATCGATTCGAGGCGTCCCTATTTTTGACACCCCTGAAATGTGACCTCCACATGGATCCGCAGTGAGCATTTCAGACCAGTTCTTCGAACCCAATCTGGATTGTATATCCCAATTTTGCCTCCCAAGCCACTGACCTGAACCACCAATGGGGACAACCCGCGTAAGGGGGTGCACCTCTGCCTGACCTCTAGCTGGTGCAAGCAGGGATGGTTCCTGTGGACCGGCCTAGCAGGTGCGAGCGACGATCACCTTACCCCCAGCTGGTGATTTGGATTTGGTGCTTTGGGACTTGAACTCCTGGTTCCTCTTGAAATCCCCTCTCAACCCATTCAAACCGGAATCCAGGGGAGCTGAGATTCTAAACACATGGCTGTGGGTCAAAGAAATGCACCAAAATGGCACCTCATAGACCCAAAGGCTAAAACCTGCGTAACCCCACACCCATGAACCGAGGGGCTAGATGGCCGCCGGCGAGATTCATCCTCGCATGCAATCTGAATGCCATTTGGCGTGGCGACATGGCGAAAGCAGCTCTGCCTTGTGCTTCGCTCCAATTCCGCCATGGCGGACAGAGACTGAAATGCTGGGTGCGTAAGTTACCTTCCTTCTGTTCCCCTCTCTCTCTCTCTCTGTCTGCTGCTGCTGTCGCTGTTGCTGCTGTTGCTGGCTGGGTCAAGGCCACCAAGTGCTCCATACAAGTAGGTGATGCAAACCAGTTCAGTACTCCATGCCACTGAACAGAATTTGCGAAATGGAAATCAGCGGCGTGTGCTAAATGGCGGAAATGGCTGCATCGATCAAGCAGGCTTTCGCGACATGGCAGCGAACAGAAAGGCGCCTTCCAAACAAAAACGCTCTTCTCTTAGGACCTTTGTTAACACCTGCCATCCTTGACTCATGGAGGGACCCAAGATGGCCTTACTAAACCACCCAATGAAACGAGGTAGTGGAAAAACCTAAGATTGCCGTTCCTTGGGGTTTTGGGCGCTGCTCATGTGGGAAGGGATAGCTCTCCATACAGCTTTCGAAGGCGGCCTCCTTCTCCTGGTCCTGTGCCTCCTGACACCAGCGACAAAGATGCAACATGGGTGTGTCTTTTGTGAGGATGAACCCCCCCAAAAAAAAAACATATATAGTGGCTTTCCTTTGGATCTCCCTTAAACCCCAAAACCCTGTATCCTCACAAAAAGACACCCGCCTCAAGAATTCCACCTGAAGCAAGAGATCCCCAAGTTGGAACCGGTGATACAACGAGTCACCGTCTTGGACCCATTTGTTTGTCTCCTTGGATGGGGGGGGCGGGTCTGTTTCAATGGACCCCAGCGACTTTGGACCCACATGTCCGGTTTGGGGGGGCTTTACATCGTGGGGAAACCCCTGCTTACCTACTAGAGTGGTAACTGGAAGCTCTGAGTGTAGTTACAATCACTGTTCCATTCGAATGGGTTTTCCCGAATCTATATACATATTATATATATATATAAATAGATAAATATTAAAAAGAAGAAGAAAAAAAACACCCCAATGTCATGGTTTAAGTGTTGCAACCAACCGTGGCGTCCCATGGGCCGAAGCGGTTCGAACTCCCAGAACTGAGACTGTTGCCTTTTTTGGGCTGCTCAAAGGACAACCCTCAACAGCGACCTCCAAAAGAAGAGAAAGATCCATGGGTGCGGAGTTGTTTTGGGACTTGTTTTCGTTTCTTTCTTGGAAAAAGGAGGAAACAAAAACCTTCATAAATTTACCCCTCCAAGATTCATTTCCCCTTGATATCCACAGCATCCGTCCTCTGCTTGCTGCGCTTCTGCCTCTGCCTTGACGGCATCCAAGTCGATGTCATCGCGCGTGAGGCGCTCGCCCTTGGCACATGGGGGTCCGAAAATACTTCCAAGGTCGAGAGGAAAAAATATCGGCGAGAGGTCTCTTTTTCCATTCCGCAATTTCAACTGGTGCTCACAGGAAACCACCAGTTGGATGGTTTAGAGGGGTCATTCCATTTCTGTTCAGATGGAACCCGAGAAACTCGGCTCCCTTCTTCAGCAGATTCACGCGTTCCTCTCCGCACGTGTCAGCGGCGCGACTTCGTCCAGGTCTGCTCAGAGGCGTCGCAGGAAGCGCTTGACGCGCGACGTCCGTGCCGCCGACCTCGCCGAGCTCGTTCTCGGGGGCCGTGTCCGGCGGGTTGTTGGCATCTCGGATTTGTTCCTCTCCCGGACCGAACCCAGGATGTTCCAGAACAGCGAGCAGGCGCTCAGGCAGGAATGCATGTCGAGCAACTCTGCCTGTCCAGAAAAGGCCAAGCCCCGGAAAATTATTCCACGAAGGTTGAAACGCCCTGTTGGTTCCCTTGAAACCACTCCCCTTTCGAGGAGCGCCAGTTGCAAGAAATTTCGACGCCTGTCACCCCGGGTTGGGGTTCGCATCTCGTCGTCCCCAGCGCCGCTTTTCCTGGCCCTCGAGAACCTCCTTCTCCGCCTTTCCCCAGCGGCGCTCGGGGTGGGAGTCGGGAACCGGATATCCTTCCAAGGTTGAAAATAAGACATGGATGCGTCTCAGAAATTTTTGCGGGCGTCCCGAAAGAGGTGGGGTTGCCTTTAGGGCTCCGTTTCAATCCATCCCCCTTTTTGAGGGCGCCAGAAAGGATTGGCCTCAAATATGGGAACCCTGAAACTGGTCTTTGCTTTTTGGTTTGGGGTCCCTTTGGCTTCCACTCAACGGATACCTTTGAAGGGACCTCTTTTGGCAAGGCATCCTCCCGGCGCAGCTTCACTGGGCGCAGGCAGAGCCGGTCCGGAAGATGAGGATGCAGCGTTCGACGCCGGCGGTTCTTCACCTCTCAGCCAGAAGAGCAGCGACCAAAACCCAATCGACTGGCTCTACCAAGTTGGGTTCCCCCCCACCCCCCCAACTAACAAGGAACCTGACAAAGGGGGTCCTGTGAGACCGTTTTCTTTTGGGAACCCCTGTCAGGTTTCATGTTAATTGGTGGGAGGGTAGGCCTCGCTGCGATCCTTGCACCAGGTGGAACCACCTCTGTTTTCTTGGCGCTCAGGGTTCTTGGCCAGACTTGGTTTTCGCAAAAACAAAAAAAAACGGTAGAAAAAGCCAGTGGCATGCTTGCTGGCACGGGAAAATGCCAAGGACACCCAGAGCAAAGGGGGCAAAGATTCTGGTAATGGCTTGTCCTTGCTTTGTTGTTGGCGCCTCTGCCAGACACGTTCGCAACCACGCCGCCATCTTTCTTCTCACCCTTCTTGGACTCCATCCGCTCACGCACAGCGGCAGCTTCGCGCAGGAGGTGCGCGGGAAGCCCCACCAGCTCCTTTTTGTTCAGCCCCGGCTCTTTCTTGCCCTCGGTCACCTGCCATGCTGGCGGATGGGGATGGCGTGCTGGCCGAGCCCTTTTGGGGGATATTCCGGAGCTCCAGAGTGCTTGGGAAGACACCCCGGAACCTGAAGGCAGCGCCTTAACACACAATCTGTGTAAGATGGCTGGACCCATCGAGAAAGGATTCCATCCAAACCAATTCCTATCAAAGAGCGAATATAGCCACACGTGTTCGTTGCGAAAGCCCCCTGCTGGGTCCACTGAAGTCACTCTCAACATCCCCCGATGAATGGTGGTTCAAAGGAAAACCATCCCCATAATGTAAAATTGAAAAGCCTCGAAAACTTTAACTGAAGGGATGGTCGCCAGGAATTCTATAGCCGCGTGCCAAAACCAAGGAAGTTCTGGCCTGCATCGTAAGACTCCTGGAAAAACCACTTGTCACAGCCGGCAATCTTCAGCTTATATAACGACTATTCATGAACGCCGGCCTCGCGAGAGTTTTTGTTTCTGGGTTGCTTCCGTGCGGCTTCCCTTTCAATCCCACCCAACAAGGGGTCCCAATCCCATTTTGAACCTCCAAATATGTCCAATGTACAAAGCAAAACTACCAGCAGCCCCACATTTGAGGGTGTCCATATGCATAGAAACCAGCTACAGGAAATTATACAGGAAACTAGCCAAATTCCCACCAAAATCAGGGGGTTTCCTGTAGAACTGTAGTTGGTTTCTTAGACATATCCCAAAACCCTCCCTCCCCGTCGGCCCATACCCGGCTCTTCAGCCCTGGGATGGCCTGCATACGGACCATGCGCTTCTGAGCCTTCACCAAGGCATCTTGGTTCTCGGCATCCCGAAGCTCTGCGCCCACATCCACCTACATGGGCCGGGCGCAAAGGCTGGTTGAACATATGTGGGTTGACATAGATGAATGTGGTTGTAGTTGACTTCTGGTAAAATATGGGTTACCCCTTTTTGTTCGCCTGATCCGAAAAAGGCTGTCTTTTGGGGTTCCCTGTGTGTGTGTGTGTGTGCGTGTTTGTTTCCCTTTCTGAGGTTTCCATTTTCTGTGGTGGTTCAAAGGAAAAATAAACAGGACAACCAACATTGCGCGGGGGGGGGGGCCTGTCTGACGCACACCCACATGTGACACAGTCTGTCCCCCGATGACATTGGACTTTGGTGACTATGGCGTACAAATTAACATGGAACCCAAAAAGGGCCCCCACCCGGAAGGAGATGCCTCCAAGATCTACACCTTTGTCGAATATCAATGTTGGACTCTCTTTAATGTGACCCCCCCCCTGAACAGTGGAACCAGTCGACGGGACTCTCTTTCGTGAAATCCTGGGGGTCTGGGAGGTGCAGTACTCTTTAGTATTGCCAATTCTACTTTAGTATTGCCAAAGATCCCTCTCAGATTTCCAGTATTTACTTTATTATTGCCAATTCTACTATAGTATTGCCAAGGCTGACTCTCAGATCCCCAGTACTTACTTAGTATTGACAATTCGACTTTAGTGTTGCCAAGGCTGACTCTCAGCTTCCCGGTACTTACTTTACTTGCCAATTCTATTTTAGTATTGCCAACACTGACTCTCAAATGCCCAGTACTTACTTTAGTATTGGCAATTCTACTTTAGTATTGCCAAGGATCGTTTTTCAGCAACCCCCAAAACCAGTTGGACACTAAAGAGGACCCCAAAACAGTCGCATTAAAGAGGATCTGGGCCTCTTGTGGGCACCCCCCCCTTTGTGTGGCTGTTTGCCCGCATTTTGGCAACAACTTGAAAAATCGATTTCCTAGATCTCAGGCCTTTAACCTTTGAGCTGGGGAGAGCTTAGGATGAGTCCCCTTCTTTAAAAGAAAAAGGCTGAGGCTTTGGTTTTCAATTTTCAGCAACCCCTAAACCAGCTGGACACTAAAGAGAACCCCAAAACAGTCGCATTAAAGAGGATCTGGGCCTCTTGTGGGCACCCCCCCCCCCCTTTGTTTGAATGTTTGCCCGCACTTTTGGTAAAGAAGTTATCTTAAATTTGATGGTTTGGAGACCACTTCAAGAAAAGGATTTCCCAATGTTTGCCAGGATCTGTTTGCCAGGATCTGTTTGCCAGGATCTGTTTGCCCGTTTTTTTGCCCGACTTGTTTGCCAAGTCTGTTTGCCCATATTTTCCCAGCTTTGATTCCGACAAAAAAATGAGGACCCCGAAAACAGTCAAACGATCCTGAATTAGAAGAAAAGTTTGTACAACAGAGGGTACTATTAATAAAGGTGGTCTAACATTAATGCAGGTTGGGCGAGAGTGCCCCATGTCGTCCACTTTGCTAGAACACATCATCAACTAGGGGTATGAATTACATGTGCTTGGACGCTCCATGGCGGGTTTCCTGTTGATTCCCGTTAAAACCAACCAAAAAGGGGCTCCCAAAAGATACAGTGTCTCTTTCGACTGAACCTGCCTTGTGTTGGTTTTAAAGCGAAACCCACAGAAACCCACCATTTTGGGGGTACCCCCCATTTGGGTGTGTGTCAAAATTGCGGAGACCTAAAATTGATGGCGTCCTTTCGGCTTCCCCAAAAGACAACAGAGACATACTCCCATTCGACCCATCACCTTGCCTCCAAAAAAAGAACAAGGCAGAGACACCCTAAACTGGATGGTGTCCCTCCCACCAATCCACATGGAACCTGACAGGTCCCTTGAAAGGGAACATGATCTTCCGGCCCCGAAACGTCGAACGGTTCCACGTGACTTACGAAAATCACCAGCCCCCTACCCACTCGACCCACTCGACGACCCACTCGACCCACTGGACTGCGAGTCTCGCCTGGGCCTTGGCGCTGGCCAACGACCTGGCCACCGCCTCCGTGGAGCGCTCCACCGCCGACTTCTCGGGGCCCCGCAGCTCCCCGGCCTTGCGCTGCGCCTCGGCGCGAGAGGCGGAAAGCCGAGCGAGCCGAAAACCGAAAACCGAAAACCGAAAACCGAACCGAACCGAAGCAAACCGGTGGCTCTCGTCTTTTGGAGGGTACCTCGTGTTTGGTAAAGGGAAAAGTAGGGGCAAGCCCCATAAAGCACATGGGAAAAAAAGTGAGTCGAAATGGAGAAATTACGGCTTGTCCCCTGTCTTTTTGATGAATTGTGCGAGTCCCATGTCCATGTCCCTCCAAATGAACCATAGTTGTGTGTGTGTGTTCGGCGAAGTTAGTAGGCTATGGTTATAAGTGGCTGGTAACTTGGGATTAGTCTATTTATGACCTTACTAAGTTGGTTGAACACCCAAGAACCAATGCTCATGGGGGGTGTCGGGGGCCATCTCTTTTGGAATGAACACAGCCCTATTCATGGGACGGGTTTCTTCATCCAGGTTCAACAGTACGTGTCAGATTCCCTCTTGGTTTGGATTTGTTTGCGGCTTGGGTGCGAAACCCAATTGACACACGTAAGACGCGGGTGTTATCTATTAATATATTAATATATATATATATATATACATGTATGCGTGTTTGACGCTTCCCCCAACGGTACGAGAAAAGAGTGCGACAATTGGAATCCACAGGAGCATCTGAAACGTACTCTACAAGCACTTTGGGTCTGGGGTTAGTTTCACTTCACGGGGATGTGTCCAAAGTAGGGGGAGCATCGAACAACGCCCCTTTGTGTCCTTCCTCTTTGCCCATTTCGCGCCTGGACCTTGCGGAGCCGGGCCTCCTCCTCGCGAAGCGGGAGAGGACGAGCATTGGTTTGAGGATACCGGTACCCTTTCGATTTGCTTTTTGGAGTTCCGAGCTAGCGCTTTTGTTTCTTTTTTGTTCCGCTTTGCTTTGTTTTGTTTTGTTTCGGTTTTGTTTCTGTGGGCGGAAAGTCCAAGTGGCCAAGACCCCATGGCTCCAGAGCCCTTGGGGGAAGTCGCGTTTGGTTCGCGGAATTTGCGGCTCCTGCACCAAGAAGTCGGGCATCCCCGCGCCGGTTTCGTGGGGCTCCTCTGAGCCGTCAGAAAGCAGGTGCCGCACCCGGTGCCCGTGCTTGGCCAGCTCCTCTGCAAGTCTTGGGCATGTGGAAACTTGTTGTATTTTTGTTTTGTTTTCTATTTTCACCCTTTCTTGTTGCTTCGTTTCTTGTAACATGTGGACACTGTCCCAAAACAGTTCGGGTTCTCATCCGGGAAATATGGGAATCGACGCTGCTGCTTGATTGTTTTCGCTTGGGCTTGACAGGGGCGTGTGCAGAACATTTCTCAAGCCCAAAGGCGAAATGCACACCACCTGATACAATCAGGCCAAGGATGGTTGTTTCCAAGTATTAAGGTTCTATTAGAGGGGCTGTGTGGATTCCCCAAAGGGCAATTATTGCAGAAAGTGGGGCTCCACCTAAAACCAGGTACTCCCGAGACTCCCGAGACCTGGAACGCGATTTGAAAACGCGGGGGGCTCCTCGCTGCCCGAGGCTTTCTCTTGAATTTCAGATGTGGGTATGACGTTTAATAAAGAACCACTTCAACAGTAGTTGGTGGAGATGAATCCCCACCGTGATGTTTACCAAAGGGTCCTCAATTCAAATTCACACCAATTGGACCCCCAACAAGAAGTTTGTCTTTGGGCTTTCTTTTTGGTGTGTCTCCTAACAAGGGCAGCACCCAATGTGAGTTTTCGCTTGCCGGCATCCAATGGGGAACCAAAAAGAAGACCTCAAAACTGCCACTTTCAGTGTCACCCCATTTCTTTCCCATGTCTTGAAAACTCCATGACTTACACCCCGTCCGATGGGGTATTTGACTGCATTTAGGGATAGCCTCGGGGATATCTTAGAGGGAAATCCAAAGAAAATGCGAAATCCGCTTGGATATCAACTTTAAAACAGGCACCCATTTGGGGGCGATACCCCATTAAGAAGAGAATCTTTGCTGGTACAATGTGTTGCGATGTTTTGAAGGGAAACCAGAAGAAATGGATTGAAATTGGTGGTTTCGTGGTTAAGGGTAGTTTCCCATGTACCGTATACAAGAACCAGGGGTTTAAATCCAAACCACCAAAGAAATACGGGTCTGTCTTTTTACGGGACCTTCCCCAAAATCATGATCTTCCCTTCGGTGTCCCTTTTAACCGACCAAAGAGCGAAAAGCGATTTAACTCTAAAAGACAGACCCATACCTGAAAAAGTACTTTTGGGGTCAAAACTTCCTTTTGGTGTCCCTTTTAACCAACCAACAAGCAAAAAGCGGTTTAGCCTCAAAAACAGCCAGACCCATACCTGAAACAATCTATTTAGCCATGGGTCAAAATCCTGTACCCCTAGTGAACTTTCCAATTCCCCCAAAATAGACTAAAGGTGGTGCACCTACCCCAAAATGAGATCTTGGTTTTGACAACCACAGCCATTTGGGGTACCACAGCCATTTGGGGTCAAAAAGGGCTGGTGTCCCCAAAACGGTTGGTGTCCCTAAAACGGTTGGTGTCCCCAATAAATTACCCTTAAAAAAAAAAAGGCCCCACGCCCCGCATCCCCACAAAGTCTCAAGCCATCTCTCCTCTGCCACTGCCAAGCGCACGCCATCCTCTCGCCAGTCCTCCAGTCCCAGGAAGCAGGTGACACCCCTGTGCTTGGCCTGCCACACCAGCTCCACCAAGATGTGCTGCACCTGAGAAAGGGAGGAACGGAGGAACTCCGAAAATTAACACCTCCCAAAACACACACACACCCCCCCCACAAACGGTTCAGGTCGTTTTTTTTCTCCAAGATCGTTGGTCTCCAAGATGCGCATCTCCAGTTCAAGATCCTGAAAAAACGAAAACCCCTATGAAGCGCTTTCACAAAAGGGGCCGAATGCTTGGATCAAAATGCACAAACTCCAGTCCACCGTCTCGCCGTGGTTGCTGAAAAGGGATCCTGAAAGGGCACGCATTCCAAAACATGAACTCTAGGGGAAAGGGATGGGGATGAACGACCTCAATCGCTGGTGGACACATTTTCAAAGGGACCCTCATTTTCAACCCAACGGATGAACTTTCGATTGAAACGCAAAAAAATAGTTTGCGGAACCCTTGGAAAGGGATGACATGGTGGGCTCGGCTCGCCTCGCCGTGCTGGGTGGGAATGGTCCGTTTTGTTCCGTGGAAAAGGACTCTTTAACCCTTTGGTGGACATCATGAAAAGCATTGTCGCAGTCATGTCTGTGCACCAACCATGTTTGCTGGCGCCTCGTCACAGGAGCTGCTTTGTTTGATTGGTTGGACACTTTGACTTTAACCCTTTGGTGGACAATATGCAAACATGGTTGGAGTCATGTCCACCAAGCGTTTTGAGGGTGGTCCCTAGTCAGTCTAAGAAGCAAGATCGCTGCGACATGAGCCCCGGTCGAAACTGCGCTGTTTTGGCGGAAAGCTTGGGTGGGCCCCCGATGTCCATCCCAAACTGACAATTGACTACCGATACTTTTGTTGGTTGCTCATCAGTCGCCCTCCTTGCTGGTTCTCAGCAACAAATGAGGGAATGAGCCCCTGTAAACCATCCTGTATGTTGTTTTTCTTTTTTGCTTTTCCCGGACATCCCTAAAATTGGTTCATTCCCAACCCCCGGACTCCCTGTCATTCCCTAGCGCCCGCTTGCCGCTCCCCCCGCTCGCCTCGTCGCTCTGCATGTGCCTCAGCACCCCAAAGGCGCTCTCTTTACCCACCGCCACGTGGCGGTAGTGGATGTGGCGCTGCCGGCAGTTGGACTTCAGCGTGCGCACCTAAGGGCCAGATCTCTGGCGGAAACACGCGAGACATCATCCAAACCGATCGGCGTTGAAATGGTCTACCCCAAAGCCAGGTAACAAATTGAAACAAATTGAGAAGGCGGCGAAGGCACCTATGGTTGGGACTATCTCACTATCTCTAACCTTGATCTGCCTGGGTTTTGATGGCTCAAGTCGGGGTCCAGCCTCACCCTGTGCCTGGTTCCAGCACAGCCACTATAGTGGTAACCCTCGGTATAGCTACCTCTAGGTTATACATGATGGTTGTTGCTGGTTAGCGGAGAAAGCACAAAGCACTTGTTGAAAGCGGGAGGAAACCTGCGCCTTCCGAGGAAGCCGAAATCACTCTTGAAAGCCAACGCGCAGGAAACCAGTGCAACACTCAACCCTCAGGGTCTGACAATAGCTCCAACCAAACATTTGGAGGAAACCACGGGGCCATGGTTTTTCGGGCGCCCAAGTTGTTGCGTTCCAAGCAAGAACGGTGGATGCATACACTAAATATTGCGAGCAAGGCAACCATACTCAACCACATAACCTTGTAAACTACGGTACATAAGCGGGTTTCCGCGTTCCTTTGCTTGCAATATTTGGGTGTTTTTTTGTGTTGTTCCCCCTTTTTTTTAATAGAGGGGGTCGCCAAACAATGGTGGTTTTAGTTTCCTTCGCCCTTTCAAGCCAAGATTGATATGAGAAAAGAGAAACCTACCCTGGTGTTCGTTCTGGCTTCTCTTTAAACCAAGGTGAAACGGGGGCCAGCCTCAAAAAAAGGTTGCACGAGCCCATCATGAACCATCCCACGCCTGGCCTCGAAGTGTGGGGCCCGGCTGCGCACCTCGTCCCGATAATCCGTGGGCCGAAAGTCCTAGGCTGTCCAACTGGCTTTACAGGGGGCGAACTCCAGAAATCGCCCCACCAGTCAGAAACCCTGAAAAAAAACATAGGGTTCCCTGTAAATGCCGACCAACAATGGCCTCCCATGGCTTCATTTCGTGGTGCGAACGGATCAATTGTTCGACCTGGAAAGTCCGACCTGGGCTGATAGGCTGATGTCTCTGCTTGGTTGCAATGTGCGCTTCCAAGCCGAGTCGACAAAAACTTCTCTGTCAGTCCCCTTGTTGGATTCCATTCGCCGTTTTCACCACGTTTGTCTCTACAAAACGTCTGGAGTCTTGACGCCACGGATTCGAATCTTGCCAAGAGTCATAGAGAATTCGGATGGAATGCAGGGACAAAACTTCGAAGAACTGCTTCTCCGTCTGAGCCGTCGCGCCCAGAGAGTACAACGTCTGAGGTCCCAGCATGTCCAGGTTCAAGCTGGCCCTCCGCAACGAATTGTGCATCAAGTCTCCATAGCCGTCCCAGGACCTGGCGGTGGGTCACAAAAAAAAGGTACCCAAAATGGAAACCTGGTATATGAAAACATGCACTAAGACCTCCTGGTGCCTTTTTTGAACCATACCCACCTCTCCGCGTCATCGATTTCCAGCAATCGCTCGTACTCCTCAAACTGCTGCTGAAGCCCAGCATCTTCCGTGTCTTGCAGCTCTTCCATCTGCATTTTCCTGGCTAGAGCGGCGTCAACGTCATCTTCAGGGGAAGCCGAGCTCAGCCCTGCGAGTACACTGCTGAAGTCACTGTTCGTCAAGGCATCGATGGCACCCTCGACGTCGAAGAATTGTAAGGCAGAAGCAGCAGCTGCTTCATCGAAGCCCATGCTGATCAAGGTTTGCAAGTCTTCTGGTTCCACGTCTCCTGTCAGGTGGTCCCATACATCCATTCCACTCTCTCCTTCATCCATCACTTCACCCTCCTGGCTCACCTCTTCGCTCCTCTCGGGCTGCTTCTGCACCTTCTTCTGGGGCTTGAAGGGGACGGAGATCCTCAGGCTGCCTTCACTGATCTCAGGCATTGAAGGAACGCCATGTCGCTGGGGCCCGATGATCACCAAGTCTCCCTCCTGCATGAGGATCGGCGTCTTGTCCACCATCATGATGCGCTCAGCGCCCAATGCGACCCTCGCACTCCAAAAGACGTGCCGGTGGCTTCCAACACTCGCATCCCCATCGGAGAACCAGTACATTCCTGCGCCGTGATTGGGATCCGTGATCCCAACCTTCTGATGAATCTTGCCCACCAGAGCGTCTAATCTGGGGACCACCCCGGAATGATACCCAGCAGACTTCATGGTCATCATCCGCATTTTGCCCTCTCGGTCGTAGCGCAGGAAGTACGAGGCCGTCCGGAAATCTTTGGTTTCCGAGGCCCCCTGCTTCCACGAGGTGAACTTGGACGTGACCTCCTCGTACAACCCGGTCGTATCTTTGAAGAAGCCCCGCACAATCTCGACGCCTCGCCACATGTCCTTGTTCAACGTTCAACCCTGAACCTACTGTGGATGGTTGCGAAATCCATTTCGCACCACCTAAGAAACCCGGGAATGACGATTCCCCTGTAAATACCAACAAACGATGGTCTCCTATGGTTTCAATTTGGTGCAGGATTTTGTCCATCCACAGTAGGAGTTCAATCTGTTCTACCATCATCCTCTTAGCAAAGGGCAAAGACGTAAGATGTTACCAACCGTTGACCCAGCGTCGGTCCGGTCGACCTTCTGGTCGCCAATCATGCTATGCGCCAAGTACTGATGAACGCCCGGCGGCCGCGGAACTGCCAAGGGCTCCAGCTGCCACCACCGAGCGACAAAACGCTCTGAGCGCCCGATGTCATTTGCGATCTCAGCCTTCGCCCAGCCTTGCTTCCGCAGATGAATCACTCGCAACCGGTCCTCGGATGCGTGGATTTCAGGGGAAAGAAACAAGAATCGGCATCCTTTGGTTGGTTGGTTGAGTTTAAAGTATCCCAACAAACTTGAAGAAAAAAGAAAACACGAATCGGCATCCTTTGTTGGTTGGTTGAGTTGAAAGGGGAAACACTTCCCCAAAAACTTGGGGAAGAAAAAAAAGGGGCGAAATCCTTGGTTGGTTGGTTGAGTTTAAACTGTCCCAACAAAACTTGAAGAAAAAAGAAAACGCGACTCGGCATCCTTTGTTGGTTGAGTTTAAAGCGTGAACACTTCCCAAAAAAAGAACTGAAAACACGACGGTCGGAATCTGGCTGCCACTGAAAAGCCTTGTATTCGCCATGCGCCGAGGAGGTCTGCGAGTCGAAACTTCCACTCCAAGCCAGGTGCGCATCGTCGAACTCCGCAACGGCCTCCTCCCCAAACCTGCAGACAATGGCCCAAGAGATATGGGTGTGGGTCCAAAAATCGGGTAACCCTAAAACGGAACCCTGGAAAGTGGAACCAAGGACTAAAACCTGCGGTCCCCTGGTGGATTCATTTTGACCCATACCCAGATATCTATGGCTAAAGTTCATGACTTGGGGCTATGCAAGACATAGAATCTATCCATTGTGTCCCCTCACCTTGGACTTGGTGTATCCATTGTCAAAGTCTATCCCATCACATTGGACTTGGTGGGCAACCCATTCCCCCCCTCCCAAGCCCCCCCCAACCCCCCTCCCAACCCCCCTCCCAACCCCCCTCCCAACCCCCCTCCCAACCCCCCTCCCAACCCCCCCCCCCAACCATGTCCGAATGTTTCCTTGAGCTGACTGGGCTGCGCCAGTCAGATAGGTTGGCAATTTGGGGGAAGACGGAAGCCGCGAAGATCCTCTCTTTGGATTATTCCATGGTGCCACCCAACATCAAATGCTCCAACAACCACAAGTGCCCCACCAAAAAATGGAACAGAAGGCCAACCACTTGGGTACATTGAAGTGACATCCTTCGGATGAACCTCTTTTCTGGTATCTTTTTTCGGGTTTCAAACCACAGAACACCTGTGAGCCCTCGTTGCCTCGCCAATGGGCAGCCCCAGTACCCCCACTCAGCAACTCCATCTGCAAACTCTACTATATGTCCAAAACTTGAAATAAGCATTGGATCCCCAAGAAAGAACCTACATCATGGCTGTCACTTGTTGTATCCTCAGGTGGAACCGCTGTCTACAAAAATATAATAGGGATGTGTCTCAAGTTAGGGGACCACCCACAAAATAAAATTTATGTCTTCCTTTTGGTTTCCCTTCAAAACAACCCCCCCTAGAATGATACCCTCAAACAAAGACACCCCCATGTGTGTGTTTGAGGGTACCCTTCAGGAAGCCAAAGGAAACCCGACATCCATGTTGGGGTCCTAAAAAAATGGACACATACCCATATGGCAGTGGCTCAGAATTAAAGAGCTAGGGTTACGCAGGTTTTGGTCCATTTTTCCACTTGCCAGGGCAACCCATTTTGGTGCCGGTTTTTTGAGCCAGACCCATATGATTCTCTTCTCTTCTTAGCGCACCCCCAAAAGATGAGTTCGGGTTCCCTTTGGTTTCCCTTTGCTGTAAATCAACGAACAAAGAGGTACCAACTCCCAAAAACACACCCATACTGTGGATGGACGAAATCCGTTCGCACAACTTTGAAACCATGGTTGAAACCATTGTTGGTTGGTATTTACAGGGGAATCGAATCAGAAACCCCGGGTTTCTGAGTTCGGTGGTGCGATTTCTAGATTTCGCAACCATCCACAGTATGACCCCATCTTCTCTGAGGCGCTCTCGATACCTGTAGCGCCTGAAGCCCGGAGCTTCCTCCATGACTTGAGCTACGAGCTCTCGCGAGGCCGAATGAGTCACTTGCTCAAAACCCGGTATTAAAACGGTCGATCCCCAGAACCATGCTTCAAGAATTAAGAAGGCGGAGATCCGCAGCTATGGCTGGGATTGTCCCTTACTCACCTTCCTCTACCCGGGTTTTGAGCAAGTGGCTCCAATGGATCTGACCGGGACCCGCGGGCGAAGAAGCTTGCGACCACTGTTTGCGGGCTGAGGGGCTGAAAGGGAAAGTGATGGAAAGCCAAGGCGAAAAAGGGCGAAGCTGTTGAGATTCTGCCGGGGGTGACAGGGAAGATCATGAGAAAAGGCGAAAACAGCCCAAAAAAACGGTGAGGGAAGCCCGGCAATGTTGAAAGAATACCTTTCTTGGATGTTGGATGGCTGAAGGAAGGACCCCTGATCTATTGCAAATCCCGGCAGATCCACACTTTGAGCCCGCGGCATCGTACAGCTCTTCATCCGAGTCTTGCCCGGCCTTCCTCTTCTTCCCACGCCTGCCAAGTGGGCCGCTCCGCCGCTCTCTCGCCCGATCTTGGTTGCCAAGTGGGACCGGGTGATGGTCTGAACGATTTGGCCATGGGTCAAAATCCCGTACCCCCAGTATCCCAATCCCCACACAAATAGACCAAAATGGGTGGTGCACCTACCCCAAAATGGGATCCTATTGGTTTTGACCCACAGCCATTTCAGCGCATCCCGGCTCCGGCAACACCTGTCGCCACTGCGCCTCTGCGCAGCGTTCCTTACCTTTGCTTTGCCTGGCTGGCCAGTCCCCCGTCTTTGGAATAAGCTGAAGCAGCGAATCTGCGACCAAACAATCTCCATGCTGGGAAAATACAAACGAGCCATGTGAGGCGAATCAGTCATCAGTATTACGAATTTATCAACTAGCAAAAACCCTTTATTGATGAAGCCTGACTAATACATTGGGGTGGTGGCCCGGTGGTGTTTTCCGAATTTGCCCCGCTTTTCATCCCAGCAAAGTCGCATGTGACATTTCGGAAACCGTCTCGTTTCAGGGCACTGCGCACCCCAAACGGGGTTGCGCTTCTTGAGAGGGAAAAACCGGAAGGAAACCGAAGTCGGAAATCAAAGAGAAACCGATTTAGGGCTCGGCCGAACCCAAGTCCCGCGGCCCATTCCTCTCAGCCAAGGTGCGCTTCGGCTTTGGCTTCCCCATGACCCCTCGGTCTCGGAATGTCAGATGCATCGGGACATGAATGAATCGGCATGGCACCCGCAGAATGTCAACAACCAGGGGGCAAGCTCGAAGTTATCCATGTCAACTCACTGTTTTTCTCATGTCCTTTATGGGAAGCACGTATTCCATCCATGGCTCGTATCAAGACTTTCTGTGTGTCGTAGCGTCACATCTCCTAACGAGAAAATGATCATGCAAAAAGCTCCTTACACTGGCCAAACTCCTCAAATCCCCCCAAACAAGGTGCTGCAAATGTCCATTCTTCCAGACGGCACTTCCAGATACTTGTCAAAACTTGGTTGCTGTTGATCCCTCTGCAAAACGATCCAAACATCCAACAACCAACAGCATTGTCCTTCAAGGTCACCAACAGTCACTCCTGGCCACTAATACTTGGGTGTTCAACCAACTTACAAAGCCGGTCATAACTATGGTTGTAAGTGGGGTCCCCTTATAGCCATGGATGTGACTTCCTTACTAAGTAGCTTGAACACCCAAGTAGTCACTATTAGGTGGTTATGGTCGCCTTGCTGCGGCTGTCACGACAAGAAAACGCGGCTGGCACTGCTTCGCCGAAAGCTCCAGACTCCAGATCCAAGCCGCAGGCTCGAGCGCGGGGAGCGGGGAGCGGCCACCGGGGATGAGCCGATAGGGCTCGCGAGCTCCAAAATTGGGGAACCCCCCAAAAAAGAAATCAAAAAGCTGGGCGTGCATGGATCAGTTTAAATATCACAGTTGTATTGTTGTATATGTATTGCGCTGCTCAAAGAGCAAAACCAAAATGCGAAAAGGGGGCACCAAAAGGGGCCACCCCCCAAAACACGGGGCCCGACACCCGCGCCTGTCGCGTCCGCCGTCTTGGGCGCTCCCGCGCGCCGCCGAAGCGGGCTCCAAACCAAGCCAACCAGGTCTGTGGCATGAGACCCAACAACCAACCAACAAATTCAAAAATCACATTCCGGGCACCCCGAGCACCAGGCCAGTGGGAGGTTCATCAGGCCGGTGGGTGTCCCTTCTAATTTCCCTTTACCAACAGCTTTTCAGAGCCGGGCACCAGAAACCGACCAAAAATGTTCACCAGCACCACCAGAAGCCAACCACCAAAAGCCGGCCACCAGCAACTAACCCCCCCCCAAAAAAAAAGACGGCCACCAACGGCCAGCCGATGACCAAGAAGACTGGCCGCTGGCTCCGAAAGTGCCCTCAAAACAAATTGGGGTTCGGCCGGGTGTTGTTTCTTCGGCACCCCCACTTTTTGGATTTCGGTGTTCCGGTGTTCCTATTGGTTGTCCTTTTGAAGCCACAAACACAAGGGGGTACCAACGCAAAAAAGATCGGCACCGGGCCCCACCTGACCCTTCCTGGAGTCTCCATGACCCTTCAAAAATGGGGTCGTGACCCATTTATTGTGGGTAATGACCCCGTTTGTTGAAGGGTCATGGAGACTCCAGGCATTGTTCGCTCAAACCGATCCGCGGGGCGCAAGCCGCTTCGAGCGAAGAAGCTTGAAGCTGCCGCTTCGATCCAACCTCCTGCCTGGGGCTGATCGGAGGAACAACTGCAAAGAACAAGAGTCCATCACAGGGGCCAACAGGCGAGAGTCAATCGAAGCTGAGCTGGCCATGGTTCAAAACCGCCATGTTGGGGTAGGTGAATTCACCACCCATTTTAGAACCTAGTTTAGCGGGTATTGGGATGTTCACTAGGGGTTCGATTTGGATTTTGACCCATAGCCAGCTGTGAAACGCGCAAGTGCACTCGGAAATCATGCCACATTGTGCATGCATTGGTTGCATCCATATATCTAAAAGAAGGCTACTTCTGGACAGCTCCTTTTGACGTAAAGTCCCAAAATCCAGAGGGTCAGATTTCAAAAGGTCGTATCTTCTTCTGGAGACAGCCAAATCATCAGGCCTATGCAGATCGCAGCAGCTACCGCCGTCGATCACGGACATCCTTCGCATCCTTCTCCTCGTCTAGCTCTTCCTTCTCCTTCTGCGGCAGAGCCAGAAAGGGGAAGGGCAGCAGCCCCTGCTTTTGCCGCCTTTGGCGGCAAATCGCATCATCTTCCTGAGTTGGTCAACCCCCCGCTGACAGAAATGCTGCTAGAAGCAGACGGTGTCAGGAGGGGAAAAAGCAAAAAGCATATGTGTAGCTTTTGGGCAACTTGGATGTTCAACCAACTTAGTAAGTAGGTTATAACCATGGTTACAAGTGGTTGGTAGCTGGGGTGATCGTCCCCTGACCAGGGGTATTCCCCCTAGTGGAACCAAAAACCAAGTGTCTACCTGCCGGGACAGGAGGTCGTTTTCAAACTCGGCCACTGTCCCGCGGTCTCCGTGGAAGTCGTAGACCCGGCCGCCCCGGACCCACAAGACCGGGGGCTCCTCCAGCTGACTCTCCCGCTGCTTGTGCTTCCAAGCCTCCTCAGGCGATTCAGATGGGCTTCACCAAAAGGCTAACCCCAGTTACCATAACATCTTCTGAGTAGGTGGGTTGGACACGCCCCCCATCGGAATGGTTCTCAGAATCCTTCTTCGAACCCCTTGAAGAAAGCTCTACCAATCCCCCAAGTGGATGAAGGTGTGCCCCTTGAAGGGCGCCACAAGTGGGTGTGGCTCAACATTACACGATCGGAGGGGCAAACCGCAGGTTTTTGGTCCATGTTTCCACTTCCCAAGGGCAACCCATCTACCGGTTTTGTTGTGCAACCGCTCCTCCGTCACCACCACCACGTTCACCACATCACTTGGCAGCCTGACGCCCCCCTCGCCAAGCCCGTAGAACTGGCTCAAGGCCTCCGCGACTCTCTGGAGCAAGTCCACCTCCCGGCGCTCATCCGGCTCCGCATCCCACTGGGTCTGCAAGAGCCCGCGCCCGGAACTCACGGGCCACGGCCCCGGCTCCCAACCCATGGGCCACGCGCTGACCATCTCCTCCTCCTCCAGGTTTGGTCCACTTGGCCCGCGCGTCGCGCCGCGGCGCAGCTTCTTTGGCCGCACATCCGGAGCCGGAGCCCTCTGAGACATGACCTCGCGATATCTGTACTGCCGGTAGTAGAAAGCTTCAGTGTCAGACTCGGCCTCTGTCTCCCTTTCGCTGCTCGTCCAGTCCTCTTCCTGCAAAGCCAATCTCGGAAAATGATATTCCCCCAGCCGAACAAAGAAAGAAAGGATGAAGGAAAGAAGGAAAGAAGGAAAGAAGGAAAGAAGGAAAGAAGGAAGGAAGGAAGGAAGGAAGGAAATAAAGAAAGAAAAATAAAGAAAGAAAAATAAAGAAAGAAAAATAAAGAAAGAAAAATAAAGAAAGAAAAATAAAGAAAGAAAAATAAAGAAAGAAAAATAAAGAACGAAAAATAAAGAAAGAAAAATAAAGAAAGAAAGAAAGAAAGAAAAATAAAGACAGAAAGAAAGAAAGAAAGAAAGAAAGAAAGAAAGAAAGAAAGAAAGAAAGAAAGAAAGAAAGAAGGAAGGAAGCAAGGAAGGAAGGAAGGAGAGAAGGAAAGAAGGAAAGAAGGAAAGAAGGAAAGAAGGAAAGAAGGAAAGAAGGAAAGAAGGAAAGAAGGAAAGAAGGAAAGAAGGAAAGAAGGAAAGAAGGAAAGAAGGAAAGAAGGAAAAAAGGAAAGAAGGAAAGAAGGAAAGAAGGAAAGAAGGAAAGAAGGAAGGACAAGAATACTTAAAGCAAAAAAAATGATAAAAGAAGAAAAACAACGCAGGCAAGCAATGAAAAGAAAGAAAGAAAGAAATACCGAAAGAAGCAAAGAAAAGAAAGAACAATCAAAATGAAAACATACACAAGAAAGAAAAAAAGAAAGAAAGAAAGAAAGAAAGAAAGAAAGAAAGCAAGAAAGCAAGAAAGCAAGAAATAACAAAAGCAGGAAAGAAATAAAGAAAGAAAGGAAGGATGGAAGGAAGAAAGAATGAAAGGAAGAAAGAAAGAAAGAAAGGAAAAAAGGAAGGAAGGAAGGAAGAAAGAAGGAAAGAAGGAAAGAAGGAAAGAAGGAAAGAAGGAAAGAAGGAAAGAAGGAAAGAAGGATTGAAGGATTGAAGGCAAGAAGGAAAGAAGGAAAGAAGGAAAGAAGGAATGAAGGAATGAAGGAATGAAGGAATGAAGGAATGAAGGAAAGAAAAAAGAAGGAAAGAAGGAAGGAAGGAAACAAGGAAAGAAGGAAAGAAGGAAAGAAGGAAAGAAGGAAAGAAGGAAAGAAGGAAGGAAGGAAGGAAGGAAGGAAGGAAGGAAAAAAATAAAGAAAGAAAGAAAGAAAGAAAGAAAGAAAGAAACAACTCCCCATGGGGGCTGATTAAGCAATAATATTGGTAGTCTGCTGCTTGTACTTGTGGCCCAAGACCTTCCAGTGGCAGTGCTGTTTTGACCGACACTGCTGATTTACACCTGGATCAACTCTGATGGTCCGCAATGGTGGTCTTGCACTGGCAGTGCATGGCTTGTGTTTTGCAACGCGGGTGTCGAGCATTGTGGGCAAAGTTTACGCTGGAACAAGAGCCCCAGCTGGATTGCAACTACGTTTCCAAAGTCGCGGAACGTGTCAACCCCTACGCCCTTGTGCTTTCGCAGCGCTTCAGGATACAGGGAGATGCTCTCAACGGGGCTTGTTCGTTGGCAATTTGTTTGGTGCTGACAAATGCGGCAATCAGGCCATTGGGCAGGTGGTCTTTTCGTGGCACCCACGCCTGAAGATGAGGGTGGGCCTTACAGGAATGTCAACTTGGCGGAGCAAGCTATCCACACTTCTGCCCCCACTGGCTGAGTTTTGGTTGCAGAAATGGTCCACTCTCGCCATCGATCTGAAGACTTTTGTGGGGCAAATCGGATGTTACGGCCGAAGTGACAAGTGCTAATAAGCCCCATGGTGATAGCTTTCAGGCGCAGGGGCAAGTGGCTACGTACTTGTGTGCAATGTTTGCTGGCTCTGCTCCAGGTCTGATGTGATTTGGATGACTGCACGGTGCAGTTCTGGGCTTCTCCCAGTACTGCCATGCAAGTGGCACTTTTGTCCTTCCTGGAAAGTACCAAGAATTGTGCTAACGTTGCTGCTCAATCACCTGACGTACATGAATTAGGCTCTATATTTTCTACGGGAGCCGGAACGGTCCTTGGAACCTTCAAAGAGAAGGGGTTCTTAGACGGGCCCTGGGATTCAGGCAGTTGCCAAAATCAAAGCAATGGTAGGGTTCAAATTTAACCATTATTTGCCTAAGACCTAAAATTGTCATGCAAATTGGGTCCGAGGGCCTTTCTGTTGGGGGTTGAACCCTGAAAAGGGTTCTTACAAGTTATGAGAAGCTTTCTCGAGGGCCAAGTGCTTTCACTCCCCGAGCCCCGCAGGCCCGCAGGCCCCGCTCCTCCCAGGGGGGACTCTCAACAGCGCAGGGATTGGCAGGAGCGTGCCCGCTCACCTGAGAAGTCTTTGTCACGATGGCCACATGGACTTGTCTCATGGTATATGGGGATATGGAGCCGATGATGTCCTTTTGAATTCCCATGTAAAGAACAAACCGAAAGGGGGCTTCCCGAAAAAAGAACGGCGCGTGCACATCCGTGGTGGATCCTTTTCTTGTCAAACCTCCGAGCAAATGTGATTGCCATGTTACGCCAGGGTTCCAAAGATCTCTCGAGGAAAACCGCCGAACAAAAAGCATTCATAGTGGTCTTCCCTCATTCCCAGAGAGCCAGCAAGAAATTCTCAGTGCTCACAAGACTCAGTCACAAACTGTGCCCATTAAAGTGACAATTCCAAAGTTACCTCTAAGTTAATGGCTTCAAGAGAAACCACCCCTCCAACAGTGATTTTGAAGGGATCCCCTCAAAAGGCAACAACGTTAAAGGACTCAAAAAGATCGCAGGGTCCAAACATGCTGACAAATGGGTCTGGCGTTCCTTTCAACCCACCTGAAAAAGGTAGCCTCACAAGGCTAAACCCCCAACCGGCCTGCAGGAAATCTCGCCAACCGAGCTGCAGCGCCGCCTCGGGCCGGCCCAACGCATCCGGCACTTCGAATTTCTTAGGCGCAGGTGTCTGAGGGTTAAAAGAAGCCCCTCCGCAAAGCCATGTGGCCATGGGCTTCTCAAAACCCAAATCGTACCCCCAGTGAACATCAACCAATCCAACCACTAAAATAGGTAACCTGAAATGGGTGGTGAATTTGCCTACCCCAAATGGGATCCCATTGGTTTTCACCCAAAGCCATGAGAGATGCACTGGTTTCAAATCGTTGGTGAGCCAGCCACATCCAACCACAAATCACTTCGTTGAAAACACGGGGGAGTTTTGCCTGGTTCCCCTGGTTCCCTGCTAGCAATCCTCACCAAAACCACGTCTTGGGGCGGAAGAAAGGCCGAGCGTTTGAGCTCCCAGGTTCTGGTTTTCCCCCAAAAAGGTTCCATGGACCTCCACATGGGCATAAAATTTAGCTAGGGACCCGAAATGGTGGACACCACACATCGGTGGGATTCATGTCCACCAGCCACTTTGCAGGCGGTTCCCTATGTCGCAAATCCCAGCTGAGACGTGCACGCTTGCAGCGCTTTCCGGACTGCACTCTGCAACCGACGGGGAGCCCTGCGTGCACTTGGCAGGTAGCTTCCAACCGCCAAACGCGACTTGTGGCGGGCGACTTGTCAAACCAACCGCACGTCAAATTGTCGGAAGGGTCATGTTTTCACGCCAAGTGAGTCCCCATTCCTGACGAAGTTGTCCACCCAAACCCATGGTAGAGGGCCAAGATCACCTAGCCAGGGCTCTGTCCACAGCACCCCCGACGTCACCCACCTCCGAGGTGCGGTCGTGATCTCGCCTGGCAACTGGCTCCCTTTCAGTGGTTCGGAAATGGGGGCCATCATTTTTTCTATTTCTTGGGGTTATCAAAGTCAGAAAATGCAGTTGTTTTCCTTTCCCACCACTTCGGGGATTCAGCTAAATATTGGTATTCAAAGGGACAGCAAAAGGCAACCCTGGCCATTTTAGGGGACCATTTTGAGAACCCCCTTCGCAAGCATCTGACAAAGACCTGAGTGTTTCTGGCGTCAACTGAGCGCAAACACAACCAAGAACCAAAAAAAACAACCAATGCCAAACAAAAATACCAACCCAAAACACAACACCAACCAGGAACCCAAACCATATCAACCAAAAACGAAACCACCAACCAATTCCAAAAGGAATCCAAACCACACCAACCAACAAACAATACCAACCCAAAACAAGACCACCAACCAATACCAACCAAAAAGCAATACAAACCAAAAAAACAATACCAACCAAAAACAAAACCACCAACCAATTCCACAAGGGCCCAAACCATACCAACCAACCAACAACAATACCAACCCAAAACAAAACCACCAACCAATTCCAAAAGAAACCCAAACCATACCAACCCAAAACAAAACCAACAACCAGATCCAAAAAAGAACCCAAACCATACCAACCAAGAAATCGGCTCAAGGCAATGGGACACCCGCCTGGATGGGGCGTAGCCTTGCAGAACCAGCGGACTGTCCCCTCGGCCTCCCGAGGTTTGGCGGATCCGTTTTCGTCGATGAAGGCTAAAGAATCCTTACTCGGTTGACGTTGGAAGGGGAGCAAAATTTAATTTTTAACAGCTAAGTGGGGATTTCCCACTAAACCACCACAAGCAAACATGTAAAATGGTTCCCAACAACAACTATGCTTAAGCCACCTGAAAGGCTTCCAACGAGAACTGGCTTTGCCTCACAATCATGGGACCCCCCGCCCCCGAAAATGGGGCTTGTTTCCTTTTGGTGTTCCTTTAACGTGGGGTCTGGGTTTCCAACTGAAAAGTTGCGATTTTGCTGGTGGTGTCCATTGAAACGATCGCCACATTTGGAGGTCGTTTCAAACACGGGAAATTGGGGGGCCCCTGTTTTACATCAACCCCAAAATGGGAGGGGGTAAGAAGACACACCCAACTTGGCCAACCCCCCCAGCCCTTTCCTAAGCCGTTTCGGGGCCTGACGGTGCCGGCTCCGGGCTGATGCGGTCCATGCGAGACTCAGTTCAAACAGGCGTGCCCTGGGCCCCAGTGGTCGCCCTTTTGGGACGGCTTCAAATGGGAAACACAAGGCTTGTTGCTTCCATTGACGCGATCGCCGTTCTTGGAGGTTCCAAAAGGAGAAATGGAGGAGACTCTGTTTTTAGCTACGTCATGAGAAAACGAGGGCTGGGAGAATTGAGCACACCATGTCCCTCCCAAATGGATCCGAGACTATTTATTGGACATGTTGAGCGAACCTCACATGCGCCATTGGCCAAAACTCCGAATCTGTGGGGGGCTTCCCACAGGGTGCGCGCTAGGGGCTATGGTCATGGCTTCCTTAATGGGAACCTTCACTTTGGTCTACACCCCCTATCAAGAGGCGGAGACCATCCCTACCTCAAGCCAAGGGCCAAAAGTGACCATGGCAAACATGGCTCTGCCTCCCAATCAGGGCACTCTGCATCTGTCGACCATCCTGGTTTTGAGCCCACAAGCCAAAGCCGAACACAGTCTTGGGGTTGAAAAATCTAGCTCCCCGGCCAGAGGAAACAGGGCTACGGTCCTGCCAAGTCCAAATCTCTCGTGGAGTACGTGGGGCTTTCTTTGTTTAGGGATCCATCTTTTGGTTGGTGCTAAGGAAAACCATCGTTTTGGGGGTTCCAACCCACAAAAAAGACACACCCACCGTCCTCTTTTGTGTCAACTTCTGCTCCGGGAAGCCCTCAAACTGGCCGGCTGTGGGAAGCCCCGCGTTCTGGAAACGGGTCCCGTGCCAAAGAAACGCAGGTTGCTGGGGCTGCGGCCAGCGTCTTGGACCGGACCACACGTGAAGGCTTCTTGATGCCCTGGTTGACAAGACCTGGGCGGAACCTTTTTCGGCCTTCAAACTTCAAATGGCTGTGGGTCAAAACCAATGGTACCATTTTGGGGTAGGTGCACCACCCATTTTAGTCTATTTCAGTGGGGATTGGGATGTTCACTGGGGGGGTACGATTTGGATTTTGACCCGCTCGATGTGTGCCCTTGAACAAAACCAGTACCACACTCATTCATTCAAGACAGCCATGGGAGATTCTCAACATGGTGCGGCCCCCTTTTTGGTTCATCGTTGGGGAAACCAAAAGGAAGACAGCGCTGATTGTTGCCTGTACATGATTGGCGTACCTTTGGGACCTGGGAACTTGTGAACCTTTCCCCACTAGCACTTGCTGGCCACTACAAAAGGGAAAACCAACAGACGAAATGTTGAACTTCCCTTCGGCAGCTAGGAGCCCATGACTCGAAATGGCTGCCAGAATTGCCGGCCTTGGGCCAGGAGTCAACATGAGACCCCAAACCTATCGTACAGAATGCACGAGCGGGAAGACAAGACTCCAGGTGAGAACTTCGCGTTCTCGGTGAGGACCAGAGACTTCCTTCCAGTTCCAATTCTTGCTCTAGTCTGCAACAAGCCTCTCGCGCCTTTCTTGAGATCTGTGCCTTTTGGGCTCGTACCCTTGGATTCATATGGGTTCCCTAGGGTTGAAAGAGAAGGGTCTGTCTTTTCTGGGGTTCCCTTTGGGGGAAAAAATAAACTTGCGCCTCATTTTGTGGGGATCCGAACACGTTGCGCCATTTTGTAGGTTCCAACCAAACAACAACAACAAGTCAAAACAAGCCACTGGGTCCGCCCGCTCTTGGCAGCGGCCAGGGCAGCTTCCCGGCATCCGGGATTCAGCACCACTTGGCTCACCTCCCCAGCGGGGAAAAAAACAGGAAAAAAACGAGGAAGAAAAAAAACGCGAAAGCGCCAACGGCGCTAAATCGGGCGGATTCGTTTCACGCTTTGGACATGTGTGAAAGGTGTCAAGGACTGAGACCCCAACATGTTGGGCGTCCTTCTCTCCCTTCCTACGTGGATTGCCCCCAAAAGGTCCAAACTATTTGCCACCAGACCCAAAGCGTCAAGTCCACTAAGGGGAGTGAGTTCTGGTTCGCCTTTCACCCAGTCTACAAAGAAGGCACCAGCTCAAAACCGACGACACCCATCTCGGCTCTGAAGACCGCACAGGCACAACGTCGGCGCAAGGAAGAGCCCTCAGTCAAGTTGAGTCGAAGATGGATCCCGTGTTAAAGGCAACGCGACTCACAATAGGTGACTTTACAACCCCTTGGTATGGAAGCAAAAAGATATGTTTGTTGGAACCCCCCCTACCAAAAATGAACAGAACCAAAAGACGCAAAGAACCTAAACACGTGTCAACAACGGTGAAGTTGCTCCTCCCCAAAGCATGGGTTGCCATCCCAAAATGCTTTCCCCCACAGAGGCGCCACCTCCGCCGACCGATTCGTAGGTCTTTGGATCTGCGAGCCGAGGGCCCAACACCTCGCTGGAAGGTTGGCGGGCAGAAGCGGACCTGGGAGCCGATCGGTAGCCTCCAGATTAATATGACCATGGGTCAAAATCCCATACCCCCAGTGAACATCCCAATCCCCACTAAAATAGACTAAAATGGGTGGTGCACCTATCCAAAATGGTACCATTGGTTTTGACCCACAGCCACATGGAGCCTGAAAAAACACCCATGCTCAGAGGAATCCTCCTAAATGGACCTCCTTTTGGGGAAGCCATGCTGCAAAAGCTATGGTCAAGAATAAAAAAGGAAGAAGTTCGCACCTGTGGTGTCTGGAGATTCCAATGGTAGCTTCAATTCAAATGGACCTTTGGTTGGATTTATGCAACCACGTTTGAGCGTCCAATCCCTGGCCATATGGATGAGTCTTTTTCGGGTGGCACCCGTTTGTGGGTGATTTTAACGGGAAAGCAGAAGGGAAACCAAAAGAAAAGCCATGTTTCTCTGTTTGGGGGGTTCCCCTAAAAAGTCGCATGGAATACCTCTAGCTTTCCACGATGGCGTGCCCTAGTGACGCCAGATGATTTCTTGCATTGCAGAAATGCAGTTCCATGTGGAAATTCATGGATAGTCGCTGGAACCTGTGTGGGCACCATTTTTTTGTGGAGCGGTGTGCAAAGTGAAACTAAACAAAAACCAAGCTAAACAAAAACCAAGCACCTGGATGGTCCACGGTGTTGAGACATGCCTCAAATGGCATTTACTGCTTGCGCCGCTTACCTGGTGCCAAGCAAGGCTCCCCACACCCACTGCTTTTCAGCTGTATATAGCCGTGACCAGGTTACCCTGCGCCAAGCATGAAAGTGCACAGACCCTTTGCAAGACGAGCTTCCCTCTAGAAAGCGGGGCTGTCCACTTCTGGTCGGCAAGAGGGATGATGAAACCAAAACGAGGGGCTACATATGGCTTTGTCTCAAAATCAGGGGAACCTCCACAGTTGTGTCTTTCGGTTACACATAAAACAAACCAAAGGGGGTCCTCCCTAAACTTGCTGGTACTCAGCGGGAAAACGGAATCACCCCGGAAGGAACCATCCAACTGGTGGTTGTCAATTTAGAGGATCCCAAACCCCCTTTTGATTCCCTACTGGCAGTTCCTCCATTTCCCTTTCTGGAACCTCCAAAAGCGGGGATCGTTTCGTTTCGGCGGCACCCATTCAAAAAACTGCGCCTCTGAAAAAGTCGCCCCTGAAAAACACACAAAAAAAAAAAAAAAAAAAAAAAAAAACGTGACCTCCAAAAGTGACCCGTTGCTTTGGGAAGGGGAAAAATCCTTTGTGCCCGAACAACCTTTGGGCGCCCTCGCCGGGTCCTCCGTCGCGGCGCCGGCGGCCAACCTCCCACCGGACCTGCGCGCCGCGCTGCCAAGGGGCCGAGCAACGGAAGCCAGGAAAGGCCGGACGAGGACGATGGCCGGTGCCGAACGGCAACCCAGGGGTGTTGAGATGCACTAGGACAAAACCACTAGGAGCAAGCGGACCGGCCGAGGGTGCCTCGGGAACCTGGAGGAATGGTTCGTTTGGAAAGGACGTTGCAGGGAAAAACCGCATTGGATTCTTTAGGAATTAGCATAGGGGGATGGTTTATTAGGGGTCAATCCATGTCTCATCCCATGCTCAGAACCAGCAAGACTTCTTGCAGGGAATGAGTCACTTCTGAACCCCCAAACTGCACCATCCCCCTACCAAACGCCTTGGGGATTTGGTTCATTCCCAAAGCCCCAGCTGAGTCCCTGCTGATGTTCTTTCCCTTTTTCCTAGTGACTGAGGTCTAGCCCGAACACGAATCCACAGCTCGGATCTCTTTTATGTGCCCCGCTGGCTTCCGACCCTTCTTGGAGCCCCATATTGACGGGGAGTCACCGGCAAAATGGGAATCAAGTTGGAACTCTTGAGGTGCTGAAGGGAAACCAAAGAGAAGTCACCTGTGCGAGTTTACCCATAGACAAACCCAAAAGTCCAACCTACAAGCATCACTCCACCAAGAAGAAGGTCACGTTAAGACGGCCAGAAGCTGATGGTTCAGTCAGCCACAAAGGAGAATATGAGAAGCCTTGCTCAGAAAAGGTATCCGGGGTTCACGCTCTGGATGATCCCTCTGCAAGCGTGAGCTAGTTCTGGTGATCCACAAGGTTTTGTCAGCGGATAAAGTTGAACTTTGAGTGACAACTTACTCATGTTTGACTGATGCTCTCCGGATTTATCCGATCACATTAGACTTCAACCCACTTGACGTCCTCGAAAAGGGACAATTTCCAGGGTCGGGTTGCTTTGCTCACATGCTGAAACCACTGCTTGTTCAAACAAGCTCCTACTACTGTTGCGGTTGTTTGTTTGCCTGTTTCTTTTTTTTTTTGCTTTTTTACTGGGTCCTTAAGGAGAGGTTTCCGGGAACACATTTTGAACCCAACAAAGGGAAAAACATAGAGCCGAACCTGCCTGCCGCGGAAGATGGGGCCTGCGCTGGCGGGCGCCGCAAAGGGGCCCTTGTCGAGCACGGCTTCCCCGAGTTGCCCGCTCGTGAAGCACTGGTTTGCTTGTCCACTCGTTTCTCGCGCGCGCCCAGCGGAAGAACCCCCCCTCCTCTTTTCCGGAACTGCTGCTGTCGTGCATTGTATGTGTGGAATTGCATACATTGATTCACTTTGAACAGCATTCATTCGCGGTGGTGCATTCTTGATTTGGTACCCTTTTTGGTCTTGGTTTGAAAGGAAACCAAGAGGGGATTCCAAATCCCTTTGAGACTTGGGGGTTGATCAATATATTTATTTCGGCCCCCAAAATATGGTCACTTTGTTTTCCATGTGGTTGAAACATCGAATTGTTGTTCCTTGTTTCACTTCTCTCCCAGTTGGCTATAATATCCAATTCTTGTGAGTGGTTTCCTATGGCCTTCCCATCTTTGAGGGACCTTTTGAAGTCCACCCCCTAGCCCATGCCCTCCGCATAGAAGCCCAGCCGCCCAGCCGCCCAGCCGTCCGTACGGCAAGCCGTCGGCAAGCCGAGGCCAGGGCCGACACCACGGGCGCCGCCCGCGAGCTGAAGGGCAACAAGGAGCTCACAGAGTCCTCAGCCGCCCGAATCGCTACCCGTTTGAAGCCCATGCCAGTGCCAGTCACCCCAAATGCTTTTGATTCCTAACCATGGATTTGTTCATCAATGGTCGCCGGTTTTTGGCCAGTCACCCCAAATGCTTTTGATTGATCCCTGACCAGGAGTTTTTGTTCAGGAGTGGTCCCAAATGCTATTAAATTGATCCCGAACCACGGATTTTGCCTCATGAATGGTCACCGGTGTTTCATAAACCTATGTCCGGAAGTGCATGAGCACTTAGCCCGGTTTAGATTCTGCCTAATGAATGGTCATGAATGGTCATGAATGGTCATGAATGATCATGAATGCTTATAAATAGTCACTAATAGACACTAATAGTCGCAGTCATGTGCGGTGCTGAATGACCTACTTGGGTGTGGCTCCAAATTTAACAGCTGGGGTTACGACGGTGTTCCTCTTTGTTTCCATTTGCCAAGGTGCCAGTTTGGGTACATGTTTTTGAGCCACTGCCACAAAGTAAGTCGGTTGTAGGCATTTTTGTACCCTGAGAATCATGAATGGTCGTAAATAGACACTAATAGTCACAAATAAGCACTGCAATGACTCAATGACAGCTGGCTACACCGTCCTATCATTGACAGGTGCTGGATTCACGCATTTGTACCAGCAGCCATCTTTTGGGGATATTTACTCAGTGGGGTTGCAAAAGGGGTATTGTATGTACCAAAAAGCCCTAGCAATGCTCGCACGACCCACTGATCTGAGAAAAACATAAAGTCAACCTAGCTCTGGGGAACAAGAAGCTGAGAACTACCCTTGTATCTAGTAGTCTGCTGCCCCGGAAAACAGAGAGCCTAGCGGAAACTTGCCAGCACTTGCCAGGAACCTACCAGACATTTGCCCAAAACCTACCAGAAACCGACGAGAAACTCCAGAAACCTGCCAGAAACCTTAGAAACCAAGAAACAAACCCACCTTTGGCCCGCAGCGATGGTAAGATGAAGTCTGCCTTGCAATGACATGTCAAGGTGTCAACTGCCGAAAAGAGAACTTAGATGGGTGTCATTTTGTGCGGTCCCTTGGTTAATGGTTTTAATGAGCAGAAGCCATTTTGGGGGGTCCAACCGAATAAACGACAGACCCAAATGGCAATGGCTCAAAGTTTCCCAGACGCACCAAGTTTAAAGGACACATCCAAATGGGTGCTGGTCAAAGGGGGCCTCCAATTTTCCGGAAATGGTGTCCCTTGAAAAACCTTTTGGTGAGAAGTCAGGTTCCCTCTAATTGGTTTGGATTGGTGGAGGTGCCCCGGGTGTCAAGGGTCCCATTTCCCTTCTACAAGGGAAATGGTTCAAATCCAAATCCAAACCACCGCGCTCCGGGCTGAAGGGTTCTACTTGATGAAATCGCCCTTTCCCTCGCCGAGCCCAGGCAACCCGTCCCGATTGAAAGCGTTGTTCTGAAAGTTCTCCAAGTCCTGAAAGCTGAAAGCTGAAAAAATACTTGGCACCCGATGGCGTCCAGTCGCGCTGTGGAAAAACCGTGGCGTTTTTTGTGTGAACACCTCCTTTGGGAGGAATCTGCGGTTGTGTTGTCTTGTGGGGCTTTGGGGGGGGCGGGGGCCTTTTTTTTGGGACATTTGGACACAAACCCCACCTCGCTTTGACTCCCCTTTTTTCGGTCGGGAGGCCCTGGTAGAAGATGAGTTGTCCAACCCTGATGTGGAATGCTTCTTGAGAATGCTTTTCGAACAGGGCTGTGGGAAATGAGCACTTCTGTGATACAACAAAAGGGGCTTCTCAAACGCAAACCTGCCACATAAAGGGGGATAGTCCCCTGTATCACAGAAGTGGGGATTCACCGCTTGATCCCACCACCCTGCTTTCGAACGCAGCCCAAAACATCAAGCTCTCGGAGATCAGAGAGAGGCGCCACCTGTGGGCTGCAGGCGAGCTGCCAAGCAACCTTCGGAGGCCAGGTCCATAGTGATGCGGGCGACAAAACATCTTCTGGCGCCCAAAGAAAACCGCCCAGCTTCTACCCAAGTGTCATGTGCAAGTGACTTAGTGTTGTTTAGGCTGCTTGCGCGTTTTTTAGATCATATGACAGGGCTCTATTTTGGACCCAGGCGCCACCTGGCCAAAAAGGGGCCCCCAATTTCGACCCAAATAGAAGTGCATGAACAATGCGCTGTGAGCCGGTGTAGTCGTTTGGATTGCCTCTCTCCTGGGATTTTGAACCTCAACATAGTCCCCCAAAACACTCCACCCAACCAAAATTGTTTACTTCAAGTCTCCCAAACAAAGTTCGACGCCAAAAAAACAAGCGGTGTTCCCAAAACAGGCACGCCCGACGCTCTTGTCTCCTCCTTGGTGAGCAACACTGCTCGCTGCATAGGCACCAGTGCAGCACGAGTGCCAGTCTTGCCTGCGGCACAGGTCTTTTAGGGAAGGCCCTGGGGTTCAATCCGCCATTAAAACAATGGCTGGGGTTGGGTTCATGTATATATCTATATATATATATATATTATTTATTTTACCACCCACATCATCTAGGTTCATATAACCACCACATTGGGTTGGGTTCATTACAACAATGCTTGGGTTCTAATCGGGGTTGAACCCTAGGGTGGGGGTTGAACCCCCAAGGATGGGACTCTTCTTGGGGGAGCCACTATTGGGGGCGGGTGGCCCTGACAACCATAGGAAACATGGGGGTTAGCGCTGTACCCTTGTTTCAGCAGGGTGTTCAAGGCTCCGGCAAAAGCAAAGCCATCCATTTCGGGCCTCCAAATTTGACACCCTACTGACGGATCTGTCAGCTCCCCTACCGAAGAGAAGCAGTTCCAACCATCAAAAATCCACCCACGGCCGAGGCTCGGAGGCCGCGGAGTTTTTAGGCGCCCAAAGGATCCAAGCGGATGGAAGTCACCCAGGGGCTGTGTCTTTTCCTTTTTGGCCATGGGTCAAAACCCAAATCGGTTAGCCCCCAGTGCACATCCCAATCCAACCACTAAGATGGACGAAAATAGGTGAATTCACCTACCCCAACATGGTCCAGTGGTTTTGACCCACAGCCGTTTGGTGTCCCTTTGAAGCAGCCCAAAAAAAAAAACGAAAAAACACACACACACACAGCATCGAAACATCTGCCCATCAGCTATGAAGGCCTGGTGCACTCTTGACGCCCGCCATGAGCCGTCCCTCGACGGCTCCTGCCAATGCGGATCACCAGCAGGCGGATCAAAGACTCATTGAAAGCCAGCTGACTGGTTTGTTACCGGCATCTTCCACGTTTCTTGGCGTTTACCAGGCCACATGTTGCATGGCGTACCCGTGTGACAGGGGGTATGCGGGGAAGGGGGCTAAGACTGGTTGCTCAGGACAGTCAAACTATCTGGCTTGCCGCAACGGACAGGGGCAAACTCAGGCTCGCATCCTGGTTTCGTGCAGGAACTGCTTGAGCCTTCCATGTCCCTCCCATGAAGACGGAACCGCATATCAGATCGCAACCAAACAGTTGGACAGTTAGGATGAAACTGGAAGGTTTTTGCCACGGCGGACGCACATCACCACGATTGATAGGCAAGTCAGCTTCACACCCCTGCGGCTCGCAAATCTCTTGGAAGATGCACTGGCCAAAGGCCAGTCGTTGGCTGCAAACAGATTTGCCTCCAAACGGAACATGGGACCAACTAAGATGGTTGCTTTGCCCCTTTCACTTTCTCCTCCGAACAACCCTTTCCCCCACACACGGGGAGAAAAAAAACAGACATGCCTAAAGTGCGGCAGAAACCCCCACTCCTGGTCGCCTAGCACGGCTCTGCGCGCTCCATGGCAGACAGCGTCAAGAGCTTTCTGGCAGGTGCAAACCGCAAGAGGGAGTGCCATCTGAGAAAATACCATCTCTGCTGGCAAGGTGGCAGGGTGCGACTGTAGGGAGACGAGCAAAAACCTTGCCGGAGAGCTGAATCAGGATGTTGCTGCTGGTCCAAATCCTTTCCGGAACTCTGACCAGTGTGAAACGGCTCGAGACCTGGAAGCGCAAACCACAAGTCACGGCCAGGTGAGCAAAACAAGCAAAAACAAAGGACGGCAGCGCGGAAACATCGGGCTTTTTGTCCAGTGAAACATGTCATGCCAAGTGAGACAGCAGGAACAAGATTTTGCCTGCGCATTCTACTGTTTTGCAGCGCCACTTGAACGTTGTCTCCGCTTCCAATTGTGCCACAACACAGCGTGATACATCGCGACGATCTGTACATGCCCGGCAGTTGTGGAAGGCGCCGTCTTTATCCAACAGCGGGCATGAACCCGAGCTCCTGCGTCAAGCAATGGACATCACCCCGCTGCATTTGAACGTCAGCGTTGCCTCTACTTCACGCCAGGAACTGATGATCTGACTTCGCATGAGGATCACCCCCACCCCCCACCCCCCACCACCCACCTGCCAAGCTGACCAAAGGAAACATCGCTGTGCGTTGGGTCCTCTGGGGGGATGCCATACTCCGCCAACTTGGACTCGTATGTCTTGACCTGCCAAATGAGAGGATGACATTGAGGCTAGTCTCTGTCAATACCAAAGTCATGAATTCCAAGGAAGTACCGGTGTCTCTCAAAATTACCACCGCATCCAGGAGATTGGTGTCCTTTTGCTGTTGAGCACCATCCCAAAAAGCTTCTCGAGAGATAAATTAATTGTGGCACATGGTCCCCCCGAGCAGTGAAAAGGCGGTTCCAGCCGAAAGCGCGGGTTCCCAGCGCTTCGGATGAGCTGAGGGTTCTAGGCGAACTTGCAGAAAAGCGTTTGTCTTTTTTGAGTCGGTACCCCTTTTGGAACATAGAGTCAAAATTCCACCATTTCTTCTTGGGGCTTCTTTTTGGGGTACCCCAGAAACCAGCCACTTCTCGTGCTTTGGCGGTTCTACTTGGATTTCAAAGAGACCCTGGCCTCATACAGGGCTTCCCTGTGTGAAAGATACCAAGGCCCAGGCCATCGTGGACTGGGAATCCTTGATGCGCTGCACCTCCTCCTGGGTGATTCTAAGGGTCATGGGAAAAATCGAAATTTCCGTAAAGCTCTCGACCGAAAAAATTGCAGAGCCTCGTGGGTTCTTTTGAAGCTCAGGATTTGTATCCTACCAGATGGAGGGATTGCAAGCAATAGAATTCATCGCGGAGAAGAACGGCTTGCTGGTCGGGGAAATTCCCCAAATAGAGATTCCTTCCTCAAATGGCTTTGGGTGGTTTTCCTTCAAAAACCAGCCAAACACATTTTTGAGGGCAATCTCTGTGTGTGTGTGTGTTTTTTTTCCAGAGAACCCCTTTTGGTTGGTTGCAACGGGAAACCAAGGAAAACTACAACTTTGGTGGATCCCACCTTGCAAGAAGCACACCCATCTTTCTCGGGGAACTTCCGCAAGGGGTGTTGGGAATGAGCCGAACAGGATCCAACTCAAGAAACGTCATTCTCTTCCCAACTTCCAAGGACCATGGCCCAAAGGCTGGGCTATACCCTCAAGGCTGCAGGGGTGATTCGCCAGCTCCAGTTGGTGTCATCTCCTCAACCCAATTGAGCACGGTGGCTTCAAATCCGACAAGCCACCCGAGAGTCACTTCTCCTGAAAATCCTCTTCAGGAGATTGGAGGGAATGTGTGCAGGTTCTTCATCGGAATGCGAAACTCCCAAGAAAGGTTTCCCCTTCGACCAAAACTCGAACCCATGCCAAAAATGGCTCCATTCGGCTCGGAGTAGAGCTTCAAATTGGTGGTTTCAAACATCACTGATGTTACGACTAAAAGACTATCTGCCAGACCCCATGGCTCCTGAGCTGTTTGGAATATGCGAGGCGTTCTGCACTTTTGGGAAAAGTGTAAACACCTAGAGTTGTCAAACAAAAACAGAACACCAAACATAAGGATATTGATTAACTGGAATGTCTACCTTAACTGTAAATTTCAAAATGAACACCTTTCCAAATAAGATTGCCTACAAGGTAGCTAGTGTTTACATGCACTTAGATAAGGAAACAATTTCGTTTGCCTGCTTTATCTTAGATTAACGGAACTGAAACGGTTTGCTCCTTGAGTTTCTATTGTTTGTCCTTTTTTTTTTACGGGGCAGACCAATTAGAAGAAACAACAAGACTTACTTTCTTTACTGAACTCCATGTTAAAGTACCTTGTCAAACTTTAGTTAAGATCATACTTGGAAAGCAATTCCTACTTAAAGATGGCTCAGGATATATATATATATATATACACAAAATAGCTCGAAACGTGTCATGTTAAACATTTCTTCAGGTTGTGATCCGACCACCCTTGAAAAGGAACTCCTATCTAAATAATGAATTTTCAGATGGGAGTCCTAACTGAATCTGTTGTCTTAGTGAAACCCATGACAACTCTAATCGAACTTTGGTTCAATGCATATCACAGGAGCTCCCACTTAAGCTCCAAAGCCCACGCTACTTCCATTGATTTCCAAAAAACAAAACGGGGGCCGGAAAAAGAAAGGCCAAGCCCACGCCCACGCCCCGCGCGGAGCGCGCGTCCACCTTGCGCCCTCCGGACCGGTCCCGTCCGGAGGCCGGAGAAAGGCGAGACGTCGCGCCACGGGCGTCCGATTTTAGATGGGAAAAATCGAGGGGTGTCCCTGGAGGAGAGAAAACCAGGCAAACCAGGGATCGAAACCCGTCGATTTTTGTCGCTCCCAAAACAACCAAAAAGAAAAAGGACACCCATGCTTTCACACACACACCCGGCGAAAGGGGTCCACTCCACCTGGCGAAAGGGTCTACCCCCGAGTGAAGAAAGCCCCTCGCTGTGCGGTCCTGGAGCTGTCCAACGATGTCATCCTTGTAAGCAATGACCTGCGCCAAGTCGAAAGGCAAAATGAACATTTGAAGCTTGAGCCATATGGAAAAGGGCTCCTGTATCAACTCCAAAAGACATGCCTTTCTGTTTCGGGGCCTCTTATATGTTTTTTCTCGGTGCTGAGTTTACTTTTGGCGGGTTCACATTCAAAGTCAAAGAACTATCCGGGCAAACTACTCTAATTCCAAGCCCGAAATCAAGAATTGCTGAGTGAGGGAGCTTCATCATGGGTGAGCTGGTTTTAGCCCTGAATTGGTGAGCTTCTAATTTGCGCAGAAATGGGGGGGGGGGGTCCTCTACCTGGTGTGTTTTGTTGAGGGTATCTTCTTGGGTTGGGTACCAACTGGGGTCCCACCTCATTTTTTCACCATCAAAGTCACCAAAGAAACAGACCCCACTTTGACCCCTTCTTAACCGCCAGGAAACGGCGAAAATCATGACAAACACCCTGGTTTTGCCAGATGGGCCATAGAAGGAAAGCCTGCCTTTTGATTATCATGTTTTCAGGAAACCGGTCTTCCTTTTTGGTGTCCCATCGAAACCCAACGGTTCCCCCGCTCCACCCGCTCACCTGGTCCAGCTTTTGGGTGATCCCGGCTGTGGTGGCCGGGTCCACCTCAGTTCTGGACATTGAAAGGGCGCGGCTCGTCATTTTTAGGCGCAAAGTGCCCTCTTTGATTGTCTTACAAGGAACCAAAAAGAATTCAACCATTCTTGGGGTCACATTGTGTCCGGCATGTTTTGGTTTTGGAAAACTGACAGGAAGCCTGGAAGCCATTTTTTTGGCGGGGGCTAAAACACCTCAAAGACTGGGGTCGACTTTGGAGTACACAGCACATCACATTCTCAGAATATGTTTCAAAAACGTAAGCCAGAAGGACACTCGCAAGTCAAATTGGCAACCAAAGCACATGTTTTGAAAACCACTCTTGGGTAAACTTCGTGAACCCTGGATAGACGTATGCGGTGTGTGTCCTTCTTTGTGTTTGAATGCAAAACTGGCAGGACACAACGTGCGTGGTCTCGTTTTGAGTCAAAGTGGCGGGTCAAAAGCCCGGCTATCCCCCAGTGAACATGCCAATCCAACCACTAAATAGGTTCCAAAATGGGTGGTGAATTCACCAACCCCAACCAACATGGGATCCCCTTGCTCGGTTTTGATCACAGCGTCATCTGGTTGCTTACGTTACGAGAGCCTGCGAAGCTGGAAAAGCTTCAAGAAACAACAGGAACTATCGGTGAGCGCGGCGCTTTCTTTTTTTCTTCTGTTGTCTTCCTTCTTTCAATTGTTGTAACTTCTCTCTGTCTCTCTCACTCTCTCTCTCACTCTCTCTCTCTCTCACTCTCTCTCTCTCACTCTCTCTTGATTTTTCTCATTTTCCTCTTTTCCTCCTTGTCTTTCTCTCTTTCTCTTTCTTAGCTTCCATGTCCTCGTTGTCTTCTTTCTTTCTCTTTCTCCGTTTCTCTTTTTTATCTTTCTCTTTCTCTGCTTTCCAGATAGCCCACCAACGAACGGTTACCTGAATAACCATGTTGGCAAGACAAGCAAACACACATCAATGGTAGCAACAGAATGAAACTTTATCAAAGGACGTTTAGACGGAACTTGCGTAGTACAGAAACTAGTTGCAAGGAGCGCTGGGCATAGCTTGGTGAAGATCAGGCAGCGCATGCGGCTTGTTTGGGCACATGAAAAAGGGCAGCCCCTAACCACCAAGAGGTCAGGTATAAAGAATTTTATTTAGGCCCTACAACCCCCACAAAAACTTGTCTAGTACCTCCTTAAATTATCTACAGGGAGACCTATGTCTGGCAGCCATGGCAGCATGTTTCAAGGTCATTTTTCCGCCATCCCATGATTTGCCGTCAGCCCGTTTAAACCAGCTCCTTTTCTTTTGGGCCCGAAGCAGGTCTGGCTTGGTTGTTCAAAGTAGAGGTATCCATCATCCGCAATCCATAGGACACCACAAGCGAAATCACTAGGATCTTGCGGATTGATTTCCTGCAAGCCACCAACTTCTTCCCGGCCATCCAGGGTTGGTTGCAACATATCAAGCAGACCCTGGCCACCTCTCAAAGGGAACCAACAGGATGGTTTGACACATGTGGCCATCTCCACTTTGTTTGGGGGCACCCTTTCTAGTTGTCTCTTAAAGGGAAACCAGCGAGAAAACCGAAATCCATGAGGGTCCGAATACACGTGGGCATCTACATTCTTTTTGAGGCCACCCTTTCTAGGCGAGAAAGCCGAAAAATCCACGAGGGTGCGATTCCGGTCCTATTGTTTAACACCACGTTTAAACCAGCCCGAACATAGGTGTCCTTTTTGGAAAGTAGATGGCCCTGGTAGATGATTGAACCACCAGGTAAACCAGGGCCCTCTAATCTTTAACCAACCCAACCAAAAAGGACACCTATGATCCCGAATCGAATCGCCCAACCCCGCCAATTCGAGCTCCAGACGTTGGCGGAGGCCAGCAACTCGGTGATCTGCGCTTCGGTGGTTTCCAAAGCCTCGCCGCGGCTTTTTTTTGCGCGCCGCGGTGCGTCTCCCAAAAAAACCGGGGGAGGTCAGGTCTGTTGAAACCGGCAAACAGTCAGCCCTGGTTTTGAAAAACAAGGCGGGAATGGGGAGTCTCTCAAGAATTGGTTGGTGGTCTTCCTGTTTGGCTTCCCGAACCAAAATTTGCGGTGTCCCAATCTGGCCAAACGGGTCCATTCGAAGTGGTAGCCCTGAAAGGAACGGTTTATTGGGGGAATGGCTTACACCAACCCAAACTGCATCTGCGGAGGTGATTTTGGCGACTAAAGCATCCCTTCTTTTTTCCAGGTATGTCCCCTTCCTTTGGATGAGTTTTGAAAGGATCTCACTGAGCGAAACCGAAACGCGTCACATGCGCCTCCTCGACTGTGTCGATCTTCTTCTCCAAAATGAGATTCTTGAGACCACTTCTTTGCTGAACCTCGGAGCAATGTGACAGCCGGCCAGAAAAACCAGCAAGGGCCGGCGGCCGAGAGAGCAAAAAGTCAGGGGCCGGCGGCCCGAATCTGAGTCCGGGACATCATAAATCGCTTGCTGGAACTTGGTGTACAAGTCCTGGCATTTTGAGCCGATGGCTTGTCTCAAAATAGGGGTACCAACCAAAATGGGTCATTGCCCGTTGGTTTCCCTTTAAACCAACCCCAAGACACACCCATATCAAGAAAGTGGATAAACAACAGCTGTTGCCTGAGAAATCAGCATCAAACCATGGATATTCCTGCAAACGGGCAGTTGGGGGAAGCCCATCCAGGTCTGTTTGTTGAAATTCAGCGGCTCCGAAACCTCCCAAACGGACTAGAAACGGACTGCCCAGCCATCATTTGGCCCGAAACCTGGGCGTTGTTGCTTTGTGTTTTCTGAAGGGGGGAGGAGTGTACCCTGTTGGACGTGTGGAGATAGGTTTTAGTTTTTAGGTTTAGGATTTGAGGCGCAGGATAGTGTTTTTGTCAAGACCCAGGGAAACATGGATATTGACTCCCCCTCCTCCGCCAGGCCAGTTATTTATCAGGGGAGTCCCCCCTAAAAGAAAGGATTCCAACCACGAAATAGAAAGCAACCCTCTTTCAGAGAATGAGTAGGGGGGGTAAAATCAATCAAGCCCAGTGTAGATCCCAGGCAAACCCATGCAACCAGTGGCTTTCGGGTGGCAAGCCCTCGGTTACCTCAGGCAATGGATCCGCTGGGAGGGGGAGCTCCGGTCAGGTCCGTCCGCAGTCCTCTCGCTCGGTGGTCACCTGCGAGAGCTGCTGCTGCAACACCTGGCGAGTCTCCGAGTTGGCCAGCTTGTTGCAACAGCAGGAAATGGGCCCAGGTGGGTGGATGGTGAGTTTTTAGGTGAAGAAAAAGTTTTTGGGAGGGTTCAGGTGGGTGGATGGTGAGTTTCCAGGTGGATTTTAGGGTGTGAAGGGTTAGGCGGTTCTCCAGGGGAGGTGGTGTGTGGCGGTATTAAAGGATTTGTGACATTTTGAGGTCCAGAAATGGATGTGAGTAGCTTCATTGGTGGACTTCCACTTTTGGGAAGGGTTCTGCGTCTACCTGATATGTGTTCTCTGGAGGGCACCCTTCTCAGGTGGCCGTTTGGGGTCCCGGTCCCTTACCTTGACACATACATGTGGGTCTTGGCCCATTTCGCGGGCGATCCATAAAATGGTTGGCTTCTTTTGCAGCCGCAGCAGCCGCAGCACCCGTCTTGCCTTCCCTTGCTTTTTGCACGCGCGCGCTTCCAGCTTAGGCCCGGCCGGAGCGGTTGTGCCGAGGGCGCAGTCGCACTGGGCGTGACGTGGCTTGCAACGTCGCGTGTGTGGGGTTCCGATTCCGATTCCCGTACCTCCTGTATCATACAGCAAAGTACCCAGGCGTACGGCTATAGTTGCGTCGGCAACACGACGTGCGAACGTGTCCCGTACCTCCTGTATCATACAGCAAAGTACCCAGGCGTACGGCTATAGTTGCGTCGGCAACACGACGTGCGAACGTGAAGAGAGTGCACCTATCACTGGGGCACGTGTTTCAGAATCCGCTAAGGGTCCTCCAGGGGGGTTTGTCTTATGGAGGGAACCTTTTGGGTGGCTTCCTGCTGATTTTTCTTGAGAAAGCAAATCGGAAAAGATGCTCGGGGGAAAAAGAGACGATAAAATATTGCTTGAAAAAATCAATGCCTCGTGCTGGAACTCCATTCGCTTCAGGAGCCTTAGGATTTGGTGCTTGATTCTATCAGCTGCTCAAAGTGACGCAAAGTTGTAAGCTACCAACGTCTCTGACTGCTTGATCTTCTCCTTTACCTGCGCTAGCCGCTTCTTGTCCTGCGAAATGCTTTTTCACGTCGCATCCAACATCAAACGAGAAACGCGGACTGGAACGTGCTCCTCTTTGTAGGCTTCTCGCTCTTGTTCTAGCCGTTCCACATCCTTCATGCAAGTCAATTCCAATCAAGGATATGTCGATTTTAGAAAGGACACCCCCCAAACCGCAGGGTCCCTTCCGTTTCCCTTCAAAAAGTGCACCGTCACAACAAAACACAAGCCGTTTTAGCGAAGCAAGGCGCGAAAGCGCGGTCCTGGTTGGCTTTCTTCATGGGCTCTTTGAGCTGTTTATTCCCTGGGCGCCAAGAGCTGTGGCCTTTTTTCGCCCCTACACCATCAAACAAAATGGCAAACTTAGCAAACAAGCTGGCAGCCTTCAAGCAAAGAGAAGCATCCTGGTTGCATTGGCGACAATGTGTGAGCGCTTTTAAAGCTTAGTGACTGCTGGACCTACCAGGATGCAAAACGGGCGCTGCGCCCTCCACTGACAGATGAAAGGAGTTCGGTCGGCTCCCTTGAGCTGTGCACTTTGCTCTAAGTCGTACATCTTCTTCGCGTCATCATTCTCGTTCTTCTTGATGTCTGCGTAGTCCTAAGGACCGGAAAGTGGGCCAGCGGATCGATTCGACCACAACCTTGAGAAAAAAGCAGTGCGCCTGTCTTTGCTGGTTAGGGAGACTATCTCGGAGTTTCCCACAAGGGCTTTCAAAAAACAGAAAGGTATCCCAGTGCTTCCAGTTACCGCTATAGTGGGTAATTAGGGGAAACGGAAACCCTCCCTGGTAAAACCTACAGGCAAAACTACCGAAGGGTTACCTACTATAGTGGCCAGCCCCCGGAAGCACTGGGTGTGGTTCCTTTGGGCAACGTGTTCGAGCGTGTTCCAGCGAGTTCGAAGCCTCGAGTTTGCCGTTTCCTGTCCTCTTTGAGTCTCTTGATGGAGTCGAAATTCGACACAGTGATCTCCTGGTAGTAGACCTGGCAGCCATCGAAGTATGGGTGCCTCGTCTTTGTTGAGTTGGTGCCCCCTTTCTCGTCGGGGTTTAAAGGGAAAACTAAAAGGGACAACCACCCTGGGAGGTCCCCCAAAAGCACCCATACTTTCGGCTCCAACAAGACTACCCTTTAAGGGACATGGTTGCAGAATCGTGAGTCACCTGGCTTTTGCGGTTGAAAGCTAGATCTCGTAGGATCGAAATAGGACATCTTCACCCCTGGGCCCTCAGGTGTGAAACTCTTCGCCTTGATCTCGGTGAAGTCTTGCTGATTCTTCTTCATCACCTCATGGTCCAAGGATGCAATTGACTGTCAGCTAAGATTGAGGCCTGCCTGGTCAATTTGTGCGTTTTTGGACCTTGGCTCCAGGAGCGCGCATCCAGCGTAGGCGGAAACATGAATCTGATGGCGTTCCTACATCACCTCTCAGCCGCAAGCTCCTCGATTTTCTGAATCTGAAGCCGCCGTTGCCTTTCCTGAGTCAGTCGCGCGGTCCAAACTCATCCGATTGCATCAGATCTCCGGAGGCCAAGATGCCATTTCTTCTCGGATGGTCTTCATCCTCAACTCGTACTTCTGCTGCATGTCGCGAGCTTTTCGATCGAACCTGAGGCCCCAAGACACAAGCCGAGCGCTGTCGAAATGCCGAAGTCCGTGCAGCCAAGCACTGACCGATTAGGCCGCTGCTCGTGTCGGAGTTCAAGAATCTTCTGATCCTGAGCAAGCGAGGCCTTTGCTTCTCGTATTTGAGTCAGAATCAAACCCTGGTACTTAAGGGGTCTACCCAAAACTGGCTCATTTGATTCCACACCCAGCCAACTGGCCTGCTCCAACTTGAGCATCCGCGTGAAATCCTGCTGCGCCTGAGTCACCCCAACATGTGCTGGCAACCCAACATGAATCAATCCCTGGTTGATTCAATGGGGGGAGGGGGTGCCCGGGTTTAGAGGAGATCCTTCCCTTGCAAAAAACACCCCCCGCCCCTAAATCCACCAGATTGACATCTGAAATGAGCGCCCGAAGCCCATCGACTTGAAAAGAAACATGTCCCAAGTCAATGGGTCGACCTGGGTGCAGTGCCACTTCTGCTTCCTTCTTCTCCATTTTCAAGGCGCGCTGATCCTGCTTGCGCCATACATCTCAACATCGCAAGCTGATCTTGCCCGGACTGCTAAATGCCCATGTTGCCGCCTCAAACAACAACCCGACCACTAAACCAACTGGAAAACATTTCTTTAACAATAAATTCGGAAACCCGACCGCTAAACCAACTAAAAACATATCAAAATTTGGATAGATTCGGAAACTCAACCACTAAACCAACTACAAACATCCTAAAATTGGCTAAATTCAGAAACCCAACCACTAAACCAACTAAAAACATCCTAGAAATTGATTAGATTCAAAAACCCAACCACTAACCCGACTAAAGACATCCTAAAAATTGGTTAGCTAAACCAACTAAAGACATCATAAAGAATTGTATCCAGCCACTAAACCAACTATATAAAGACATCCTAATTGGTTAGATTCCAACCACTAAACCAACTAAAAACATCCTGCTTGAATTCGAACCCAACCACTAAACCAACAAAACAAAAACTACAAACATATGGTGAAATTCGGACACCCAACCACTAAACCAACTAAAAGCACCCTAAATATTGGTTAGATTCGGAAACCCGACCACTAAACCAACAAAAAGCATCCTAAATATTGGTTAGATTCGGAAACCCGACCACTAAACCAACTAAAAGCACCCATAAAACCAAGGGAGCCGGACGGGAACCACCAACGTACTAGGGGCGGTTGACTCACAAACCGCACAGCGACAAACTGTCCCGGCGATGCACCTCAAAACTCCACACAAAAATGAGTCGCGTCACGAAATGTCCCGAATGAAATTGCAAATTAGTGAGTGGCTTTGGTGGGAGATGTAGTGAGTCCCCCGATGTGCCTCCCCGAATGGACCATAGTTTACTAACGTCAAATTGATAGCGTCCGAGTGTGCAATAATTTCAAAAAGCATGTCACGGATAAAAGCCAAAATACCGGAAACTGCAAAAGCGGATTCAAAGCTGGCTATGTTGATGCACCATATCCTGCTTCTCAAAATCAACGCGGCAGTTGTGTGCAACGACCATCAGCTCGCAACATTTAGCAAAACAACAAACAACAAGCAAAGCAACAAAAACAACCATTCAAACACACCTACTGGTGTCCAAGACTATGAAAGTCTATGAAAGTGAGGGCGTTTGTATTCACCTGGTTGGACAAACCTCATTGCAACCAAAGCAGCTGGAAAGAAAAGGCGATCGCCTTTTGGCTTTTGGGGACACATGAAAAAAATGAGAAGAAAACAAACGGGAAAACCCAAAAAGTCAAAAGGTCGGCCTTGGGAAACTGAGAAAAGGAGAAACAGAAAGACCCAGCGACTCGGCCAAGAGGGCCGCTTCTTTCGCGACTCGGCCAACCCTTCGTTTACCCCATCACATTCACAAAGTCAATGCCCCGCAAAAAAAAAAAAAAACAAAAAGCAAAGCTGCCCACCAACGAGACTTCTCAGCCTCCCAACTTCCCAACCTCCCCAACCTCCCCAACCTCCCCAACCTCCCCAACCCTCCCTGGCGACCACCCCCAAATCCAGTGCGAGTCATCGCTCGACTCCCGGGGCTCTCGGGTCCTTTTTGATCTCCGCCTCGGTGATGCGGTGGTGGTCCTCCTGCAGCTTCAGCCCCAGCTCCGCGTCCGTCTTCAGCTCCACCACCTGACCACCCCGAAGGCCCGAAAGGGGGGGGAGGGAAACGCTCCTGTCCGTCGGTTTCCCAGAAAAACCGGAAAAGAAAGAAAAAAAACGGGTTTTTCTCGCCTGAAACAGACGGTTCCTCGCTTTTGAGACGCTGGTTTGTGGGACGTGTTTGGGTGGACCGAAGCTCGAAATCCACGTTATTTGGTGGTCTTTTTTGCATGAGACACGGCGACATAGGTGCAGGGCTCGGGAGGGCTGGTTTCACATATTGAAGCTACAACTAAAGGTTCGTTCACAAGACCCTCTTATCTGGGGTTGATTCGGGATGGCAAGAAAAAACAAACAACAGTGCGCGGAACCACGACCATGACGAAAGTCCCAAATTGGACGGATGTCCTTTGAGGCTCCTTTAAAAACGAGCCCCCCCCCAACAAAAAACGATACCAAGTCAAAACAAAACATGTTGGTATAAGCTGTTAAACTGGAAACGGAAGGGCCTGGAAGGGAGATTTCTTGTTTCAGGTCGGTACACTTTCGAAGCCGCAAATTCGGCAACTTCTGGAGAGTGTTCTTCATGTGAGTCATCATCAAAGCCGCTCAATACCAAAAAGATGGTCGATCCCGGGAACCATGCTTCGACAAGTATTGGAGGCGGAAACTGAAGGCACCCATTGGCAAGGGGATTGTCCCTTCATCCTTCATCTACCCAAATCTGCTTGGAGCCAGTGGCTGTGCGTATTCAGCCCTTTGCAGAGGCAACCAGGTAGCACCCCGCGATTTCTTGCTTCCGGATACGCACTAGGCACATTTGTTTGTGACGTGTGGAGACGTTCAGCAACATCTGCGCCTCATCTTGCTGGTGATATCTCAGATGCTTCAGCCGCTGCTGAAACATCTTCAGCCTCGCGACTGGAGCAATCCGAATGGCTTGAGATCGGCAACTTGACAAAGCCATGAAGTTTCAGCTGCATGGGTCTGCCAACTTCGGCTGGTCCCCCTTTTTTGTATTCAAGGGAAACCAAATGAGGAAACAACACCAATTTGGGGGTCCAACTTCAAAAAAGACGCACCCGCAGGTGTTTGGGTTCTCTTTGCGCCATCGTTCTGCAGAACCGCATCGTCACCCAAACTGGTCAGCGCACTCGAGACGGGGTCTAGACGAATTCCAGCTTGCGCCAAAGGACAATCATGTGAGTAGCATCCCAGAACTCACCCAAACTGGGTCTCCCGCTCGATCTGTTGCCGCTCTTCGAGATCTTGCAGCTCTCGCTGCTTGTTGCGGAGATCCGCCTGCGGTTTCGTGCAACGCACGGCACCGATCAACGCGAAGGTCTCAGAAAGCAATCCAGACATCCTCAGTGCCTCGCACAAAAACAAACAAAAACACGAGAGATCCACGCTAAGCGTCAGGCCTGCTTCTCGGTGAGCGTCTTCTTCTCTACAATCCAGAAGTAGTTGATCTTCTCCCGTTCCATCAGGAATTGGTGGAAGTGATTCTCCTGCGTGAATGTGTGGCCTTCACAAAATCCCCACAGCTAGGCGGCCTCTCTCTAATTGGCGATTTGGATTGGTGGTTTGGAGGTCTTCTGGGGTGGTTTCTCATTTGCCCTCTGCTAGAACCAAATATCTGGTGATTTGCACCATTGGTTCTTGCAGAGGGTAAATGGGAAACCACCCCTAACCCCCAAACCCCCAAACGCTTCCGTCGCCTTATCGGTCCCAACCCTGCTCCTCCCGCTCGCAGTTTGCGCGCAGTCGCATGGCTTCCTTGATCATCTCCAACCTCATTTCAATTGAAGAGGGCAAGCAAGGGTCGTTGTTTCAACCGGTACTAGTGTTTCCATTGAATGTCCATTGGTGTCCTACGGAATTTCCGATTTCCCCTTGGTTTTGCATCTGGTCTCCTCATGTATAATCATTTTATTCGGAATTGTCATGTTTTATCAACGAAATATTATGCACACGCGTAAATCACATACACATTCTGAATATGTACGTGCGTATATATATATATTGTGGTTTTGCATGGCTTTGGGTGGTCTCGCCTCTTCTTCTCCTCCGCCTCTGCAGCTTGTTGCCGGGCTGCCGCCTGCATCCAACTTGTGTCAGGCCTGCCACTTCCTTTCCCGTTGGACGCATTGGTATGAGTCACAACCGAAACCCTGGGTAATGAAAAAAAAAGGACGGCTGGTAGCCCTTAACCTTCATCCACCTACAGTTTCATTGTGGCTGTTGGGCAACTTCCAAAATGACCTGAAAAGGGAAAGGCAACTTGAAAAGGGACCCAACCAAAAGCCAACTTCAAGATGGACAAAAAAAAGACCCGCCCTTTTCGCTTCCCTGTGGATTCCTGGCCTTTTGCGGCGCTTTTCAAACCCGGCGACGGCGTTGCAAGCGGCACCTCCGGGTCCAGCTGCTTCTTCTTCCCCTTTTTCCCCATGGCGTCCAACTGCACCTAAGACCAGCTCCGGGACTGCTGATGACCTTCCAATAGCAAGCTATTTTCTATTTGGTCAGTATTTACCGAAATGTGGCTCCAAACAGCGTTTTGGACCTCTGGCAATGGCCTGCAGCAGTGATGCTGATGACGATAACCGGGAACCCTATGGCGAGGTGGTCCTTCTGGCTTCCCTTTGAGGCAACCTGGAAAAGGGGTACCCTCACAAAGCAGGCTGCTGAGCTAGCTCGGCAAACGTCCCATGAGGTGTTTTGTACTAAGTGCGGTGAAGTGACAGCCTCGAAATGAGCCTCTAAATGGTGGCTTTTTCTGGACCAAAAAGTGATTTCGAGATCCCTCAAACTGTGGTTGTTACCCTGCCCCCCTGCCCCGCCCCCTTCAGGGCACCTCAGAAGTGCTCTTCGGCAAGCTCCCGGGCTTGAGCCGGAGACCCCAAGACGATTGGAGCAATGAAGGGTTTGGTGCAACAAGGGGCCATTCAGCCCCTAAACTATGGCTAGAAACCTGTTTAAACGACCTCCTGTTGATTTCCCTTAGTGTGGATCAGAGCTTGGTTGTTGAAACATGTTTTGCCCTACCTTCGTGTGCAACGGCAAGACTGCGGTAGTGATTCCTTGCTACGCTGCGAAGGGCTTCGACATGCTTGCAGGGAGGCAGACTTCTTTCTTCTGCCGATAGCTAGTCTCGTCGGAATTATTTGTATGTACATGTCTTGCCCTGGTTGCACGTGACGTGGCTGAGAACTGTGACGTGGCTGAGAACTGAAGAGAAGAGGCACACAAAAAAGCTCGTAACTCTACAATCAAATTTAGCCAGCGTCGCAACCGCAAATCGCCGGAGCACTCAAACTACGCTTCTTGACCACCGGGAGGCTGGGAAGGGACGTGACCCCAAACAGGGAATTGAGAACCGTACGTTGTCTGCTTGGATCGGTTTCAGTGGTGTCCGAACTCAGAGTTCCAAAACCACGGCCGAATGTGTCAGAACCTGACTTCCACAGCCTCCCTGGCCGCTATCGAAAGTATCCAACCGAGGACGGCATCATTGACTCCGGATCAATGCCTCAGACGCAACACGGGGCTCCAAAATCAAACTCGTGCAGTATGATTTGGGGCGTCCAACAAATTAGGCCATAGCAATCGCCCCGAGGCTCACAACAAGTAAAGTCCCCTCTAAAAGGAAACCTCGCCGTAAATTGGCCACCAAAGGGTGACTTGTTCAATACGCCCAGCGCGGAATGTGAGAAAAACACCTGCCACCTCCAGCGAAAAGACCGCACGACATGTTCGAGTCGAGTCGGGTCTGCGGATGGTGCGGATCGCCGGCCCACGACTTCCCAAGCGCAAGGTGGCTTCCCGGAAGTAGAGATCCTGGCACTCCCCGGCGTTTGGCGCTTGCTACGCTTGGCTTTTGGAAGGTGTTGCCTGTTGGTTTGAAGGGAAATCACAAGAAAAACGGCCAATAAATAGGGGGTCCCCCAATTTTGACGCATATACCCAGATTCGATCAGACATTGCACATCAGTTGAGATGTTGACCAAACCCTCTTGAGCCTCCCAACCCGAACTCGCATCAACGAACAACTCTCTGGGAGAGTGTGTGTGTGTGTGCGTGCAAAATGGTTTGGGACCCAAAGCAAGGTGGTTTCCCCAGCAAATCCCCTTTCAACCACACCATACTAGCTGCCAAGGGAGTCGTGCGGCGCAGCCTGTATACAGTGCTGCGTTTCTGATGTTGCAACCCTACAAACATGGGGTTCTCATGGTTTTTAGAATGGGTGCTGTCCGTGTTTCAAATTGGAACGGAGAGCCGCGTATCCAGCCGCCCGTTCAAAGGCCGACGAATGCAACCCTTAAGGCCTTGTCTTCAGAAGCAGCGATACCTTGCCGGTAGCACAAATGGTTTGGTCTTTGGATGACACCCGAACATGGGTGGTTTTCCTTTGGTTCAAACAAACCAAAGCGGTACCAATTCAAAGAACACATCCAAAAGGCAATAGCTCGGCAAAACTGAGCGCTTTGCAGAGGGCATCTTCCATGTTGGAGGGGTTTTATCAGACCCAAAACAGCTATGTGTCTTAATTGGGCACCCTCTGGTGGACATCATTTACATGAGGATCGATGTTCCCCAACCTATTGAAAGGTGATTCCCCTGAAAGTTCACAGCATGTCATAGCCAAGGGCTTTGCGTCACACCTTGAGGCCGGCATCGCCGCGTCGCGAGTCCGGGGCTTTGGCTGGGCCCTCCAATCAGCGGCGCGCCCGGGGGCTTCTTGGTGGGATCCGTGGGCCCTGAGCCTGGCGCCGGGGACCCCGAAACGATTTCGCCCGATGGTTCGGCCCAGGTCTTAGGTGTTGAACCGCTTGAGGTGTTGATCATACCAGGTATGGTTTTAAATTCCTCAAGTAGCTGGAACATCCCACCTACTACAAACCGGCCAAACCATGGTAAGGGTGGTGTTCCGGCCACTTAAGGAGGTTATAACCATACTATGGTAAGGGTGTGGCCCGTTTTTTGTAGGTGGGCGTTCAAGATTAAGGAGGTTACAACCATGGTAAGGGGACGATCACCCTGGGTATCAGCCACTCATAACCATGGTTGTAACCTACTTACTAAGTTGGCATTCGTACTACGAACTACGGAAGGAACCAAAAAAGGCTCCCAAAAGATGCTTTTCAGGTCCCAACTTGATCTGCTGAAGTGCAACCCTCGATCGAGCAGCGCCAAAACTCCGTTGACGATCTGTTTTCGGCTGTACTCAGCCCGTGAAACCAGACAGTAGGATGGAATGGCCAATAGGTATTGAGGCACTGCTCAAATTGGAGGTTTGGATTGGTGGTGAGGTTAGGGGGTACCTGCCTTCCCATAGCTTCTTCGACGGTTCAGATCCCAATTTTCAGCTCAAGTCGATGGTTCATACCAGGGCTTCATGTATGCATCCACGCATTTAACAATACTAGACCTGAATTCCGACATTGGGTAAAAAAAATAGCTTGGCGATGTGTCTTGTTGCTTTCTGATTTTTGTTGGCATTTGGATTCTTCCTTTGCTTTTTCTTGGGGCCAAACTGAGGCCGGCTTCGCCCCCGGCGTTTCCCTGGCCTCCGCTGGGTGCCGCAGAACGGGGCCGCGCTCTCAGCAACGTTTGCACCTGAGCGCCGCGGGCTTCGGCCAGCCCTGTGTGCGCTGTGTGCTGTGTGTGTGTGTGTGTGCTGTTTGCGTGGGGGGTGGATGAACTGGTCCACGGCCCGACATGAACTCTCTCAACGACAAAATGAGTCTCTCCTTTTTGGGGCCACTCCTTGTGGCCGGCCGAACCTTTGTTTCGAGACCAAAGGGAAGGAAGCAGCCAAATTGTTGAAACCGGACCTGCACGTTGGAGACAGACCCAAATGCCCAAACGGCCCAATAGGACTCCGCGCCAGGAACTTCATATTCTCCAGAATCTTGGCATCCGTGAAGTTGGCATCCCCAATGGTGGCCTCCGGGTGAAATCCAAAGTGGGCCACTTCAGTACCAGGTTTTGCTTGCGATTCACATGGTATCCCCACCCAAGTGATGGAAACCAAGGTGAAACTGAGCGGAGGGAAACCAAACAAAAAGCCGTCGCAAAGCTTTCGGGCCTTGAGAATTCCCCAGTTATGCCGGACAACTCCTTTCCGGCCCCATTTTTGGTGTTGACCCTATCTTCCGACTTTGAGCCTATTTTTGAGGGCCTTAACTGTACCTCTCGCTTTTTGTCGGCCCCAAAACCCAGGTGCTCTACCAATAAAAGAACACGTACATCAAGGGGGCGGATACCTATTTTCGGGCTGAGACTGTCGCCTTCGGGTTCTATCCTTCCATGCCCTACCTTTGTTGAGCAACCGCGCCTTCAACTCGCCTTCACCCTCGGCGCGGTACTCCAACAGGGCTCCGCCTTTGGCCTCTCGAGCATTTCGATCGTCAGATCCATTCGGCATTCCCCACCTACACAACCCCAGGGGCGTCCCAATCCTCATGGACGACCCCACAAAAGAAATTCCAGCACGTTGATGAAGCCGAATATCCGACGTCACTTGGTTCTAACAAAACTTACGAGGCATGGCCGCCCAAGAGCCCCCTGTTCATTTTGGGAGAGTTTGCGAGTTCCCCCAAGAACCCCCAACAAGGTTGGACCTTTCTGTTCCCTCGCTTACATTCAAACTCACACTCATGGTCCACATGGCTATGGCTCCGAAGCGGGCCCCCAAAAAAAGGAATCATCGGCTCCGGGTCGCCGAAAAACCGGTAAAAAAAACTAAAAAGACCCTCCAGCCCCTCCCCCCAAACTTTTGGGAGGAAACCGGGGGATCATGGGAAGCCGGTCCGGCCTCCTTGATGGCCACGGGGAGGTTGGGCACCACGGTGCCGCTCTTGGGATTCGGCATCATCTTCCTAGCGAATCCGATCCGATCCGATCCGATCCGAGCCGAAGAGGAGGGGAATGAGAGGCATGGGTCAACTGCCCCACAAGGAAAACCCATCCGACTTTGGTTTCCTTTCTTCGGGGATCCCCAGTTTCATTCCCGCAGTCCCTGAGAACCAGCATCAAACGCCATCCATCGATCCATCGAACGTCGATCCATCGATCCATCGATCTCCAAAGCCCCCTTGGGGCCGAGAGCGGCCCTTAGGCACGGGGGAATGTTAAATATCAAGCGCATTCGGAACAGGGCGCGAGTCGGTATCAGATTTGAGGTCTTCAAAGAAGAGAGAAGTACTGGTTTGCAAAGGGGGTCGGAAAAATGTCCGAAAGAGGTGGGGTTTCCCCATGGATTGTGCTTGCCAAAAGGCAAGCAGGGATTTCAAATGTGTCAGAAAAAAATATGAGAGGGACTGACGTGCTTTCCCCAATGGACAGAGAGGTAGCCCGAACGGGAGCCATGCTTTGACCCCATCCTAGCAGGCGAAAAGCCATCAAAAAGTCTGGACTTGTTCGAGACTCCAGGAAGTTAGGTCTTGATTCGTGGCAAGAAAAACTGCGTATGACTCTGTCGATCCCTTTCGAATGAAAAAATGTCCAGCCACTGTTCAGCTCCTCCTAAAACTTGGCCAAGACTTCCCGTGTGAAGCTCGGACCAACCCGCAACCCGCCAGCAACTCGCTCGAGGTATCTGGAAGAAAATTCCCCGCCTGGGGCCCAAGACCTTGGCGATCTTCATGACTTGAGGCCTAGTGCACCCGGAAGGCAAGCGCTTCTCTTTGTGGTTTTTGTTTGGTGTCTGTTCATTGTTGAGGGGAACAAGAAAGAAAAGAGGAAACAAAAACGAGCGATGTTGTTTTGTTGTTTGTCGTTTGCCTTGTTCTTGTTGTTCTGCTACTTCTCGTGCTCTCTTACTTCTATTTTGGTTATTTGCTCCTTCCGAGGGTATGTTGGGTCTGGTTTCAAGGGAGACCCAAAAAACCACCGCGAGAGCCCACGAAACCCAGACGGGAAGTCGAAAGTCGAAGCCCGACGACGGAAGATCCTCTTGGAGGGCGATCCCGCCCGCACCGGAAAAAAAAACCCACAAGAAGGGCACCAGGTGTTTGCCCAAAACGGCAGCCAGGGGGGTCAGAAAAATTTCTAAAAACACAAAAAAGGAGAAAAAAAAACTGGCAGTACAGGAAACTGGTGTTAAAACTGGCCATAATTATACTGGGAAAAAAAAAATTACACCTGCCAGCTATCTGTTTGTGTGGTCTACCTCAAGAAAACAGCAATGAATCGCGAGGACGGGTATGGGTCACTTCTATTTGGGTATGTACGCTATGAATCTTAATTTGGGAGCCTTTTGGTGCAAATCATGTACATGGGGATTCGGTGGTTTGGATTGGAGATTTGAATTAGTTCCCTTGTTAAAAGTCACCACAAAACAATGGGCTGCTTTATTTCCACCAACCATTTGGGAGGGTGTTCCCCATTTACAAATAAGAACAAGAATAAATCGCTAATGGCTCGTTTTTTTGCAACTTTGCCGGCGCCTGAGGCCCCTGCATAATGCTGGGAGTGGCCAGGCATCGATCGAAGCCCATCCAGCCTGCGTGCGCCACAGGCGGACGTCCGCCTAAATGCGGGCATTCAAAGTTTCGGGGGGGGGGGGGGGGAGAAATGGGGGAGGGGGCAAAGGCCTCTTTGCCTTTTCAAAAGCACCCAAAAGCACCCCTAAATCTAGTGACAATGGCATCATTGCCAGCTGACATGGGAGTGCGCAACCCGCGCAAATGGCTGGGTTCCTCCCATTTTGCTCCGTGCCATCCGCTTTTCTAAGGCTACTGCGACAAAAAAAACGCCCAGAATGCAACTCCAGAGCCTTGGCCGATCCTTCTCAGAGGTTCTGTGATGCCTGAAGCCGAAAAGAGCCGAAACTCCGAAACTCTGCGGGTCATGGCTCCCATGAGAACCTGGTAGCCATGCTGTTTTTTTGTACCCAAGGCGTCATACCCATCCCCATCGCAAATACGTGGGTCTTTGCACCGTGGCTCATGTGCTCAGTGCAAGAGACAAGCGCGAGCGAGTGCTCGACACTTTCGCGTCGCCTGCAAAGTCAGCCCCGGCTGCCAGCATCTCCTGGCTGTGCAGCCGAAAGGTAGACAAATAGAGAGGCGCACAGACACATGGCTGGGGGTCAAAACCAATGGAACCATTTTGGGGTAGGTGCACCACCCATTTGTCTATTTTAGTGGGGATTGGGATGTTAACTGGGGGTACGATTTGGATTTTCACCCATGGCCACATAGACAAATAGATAGATAAAACAGATCAACAAGAAGATTGGCTGACACAAAGTTGGATACAGCCAACAGAACTCCACGTCCTGGCGGCTGATGGGATTCAGGGTGTCCCAAACCAGAGGGAACCCCCGATCCAAGCGAGGCGGATGGCCTCGATCTGATCATCCGGGCAAAACGCCAAGACCTTCAGCTTTGTGCTCAGGCCATGAGGCCTCACCACAAAGCAGAGGACCTTCGGAGGTCTCCCAAAGAATTGATTGCATGCCGCAAGTGGCTGTCTTTTTTAGGATTTGGACCCCAAAAATGGCGTCGGCTTTCCTGTGGGTGTTCTTTAAAAACCACACAAAAAGGTGCCCTGAGAAAAGAGAGACCCAAGTAAGAGCAAGGCAAGTTGCAGGTGCCTCGCACACTTTCACCTGGAGAATCAGGATAACAAGCAAGTCTGGATGCTTGGCAGAATCACTGGCTCGAGCAAGACTCACGATTTGCAACTCGACGACAAACTGGCAGGCAGCTCGAGACAGGTCGACGTTTAGCCTGCACAGCAACTCCGCACGTTCGGCCCTTTGGTCAATCCGTTGTCCTTCTTTTGACCCCCCCTGCTTGTTCCGGGCCAAGTAGAGGTCAAAAGCTGGTCTGGCGCTGCAAAACCCCCTGCTGGTTCTGGCCCGTTTGACGCATGGGCCAAGTGGTTTGACGCTGGAACCAAAAAAGATATTCACGCCCCTTGTTTTGAGCCGTAAAGCATAGGCCAAGTGGAGGTCAAAAGCTGGTCTGGCACTGGAACCAAAAAAAACCTTCGCCGATCTTTTGGCCTCTCCAGCCTGGTCCAAAACGTGACCAGGCCGTCCGGCTCCGGCACCACATCAAAGACCCGCATCAGGCGCGCTGCCTTCGAGCGATGCCCTTTGCCAGCGGTTGGCCGACTCAACCCACATCCGACATGGGGTTCATCAAACGGCTTTTGAAACATAGCATGATCCGACACGCCCACACAATGGAATATCGCTGATTGTTCGTTACACCCTCCTTTTTGGTTTGCCTTACTGAGACCGGTGACCACCTCACTTCCAGCCTGGAAGGGAGTGGTGCTCACCTAAGACCGGCGGACAAATCCTTCTCGGGGATTGACCCACCAAGGGTTCATGCGGTGGGTCAAGGGAACCAACATGGCGCAAGCCCGGGCCAGGAAGACACATGTCATGTGCTCGTGGGAGCCGGCATCTGAAGATTGAGTCGTGAATACGTTAAATTAACTCCAAGTTGCAGGATGTGATCGACAGGAGGATAGGCGCTGGGGAAAAAGACGCAGCATACGCAGCTCCACATTCTCTTTGGTTCGAGGGTTCTGTTTGCTGCTCTGCAGATCCCGCGCTGGACCCTCGACCAACCAAGCGAAACCGACAGACACCATCGGCAGAACCTGCTGCATAGGGCAAAGGGCAATGCGTCGTTTCTGGTTGCAGTCCACAGCAGGTTTGAGCGTCGGAAACCCATTGACGACTGCTTCCACCGATATGGTCAAAACCACATATATAGGGAGTGCCTAACCAGGGAACAGGAGCCCTGAATGTGTGTGTGTGTGTGCCTCCGGAACCACAAAAAAGCAGCATTTCGCAGTGTCTTCCCTTTGCAACAACCAACAAGGGATAGCAAGGGGAGGGAGGGTAATGGCTTCTTGTCTGTCTTGTTGGATTCAGCTGGCGAGCTTTAAAAAAACACGCTGAGTGGGATGGTCAATTAAGTCTGGGAATAGAAAGGAGCTTCAACCCTTGGCTTCCGTTTTAAAGCAAACCCCATAGACTTGAACCCGGATAAAATTCCGCAAGGGAACCATTTCCAGGGAAGTCGAAACCGTGAGTAGTGTCTACCCCAAGGTACTCCAAAAAAGGGGACGCCCCCCCTCTTTGGGTGGTTTTCCTTTTGCTTTCCTTTAAACCATGACAAAAAGAGTAGCCTTCGCCTCGAAGAAAACACACCCAATTGGAGGTCTTCGTTGCGGGAACCATTTTCAGGTTGGCTTGAAAGGAAGCCTAAAGGGAAAATCACCCGACCCGAAAAACGATAGTCAAATCTAAATGGACCCAGCCAGGATGGTTGCGAAATCCATTTCGGACCACTGCTCAGACACCCTGGTTTCTGATTTGATTCCCCTGCAAATACCAACAAAGACTGGTTTCAGCCATGGTGTCAAAGTGGTGCGAAATGGATTTCCCAACCATCCACACTATGAGCGCATCCCGGCCCGAGAAACGGCTCGACTAAGGAAACGAATCATCTTAGGACCGGGCGCGGGCTTCGTTGGCCTTGCGGCTCATAGTCTTGGCGCCGTCGGCGTCTGCCTCTTCAGCAGCCGCAGCCTTCGGGAAAGGAACGGAACGAAGCAAGAAGCAAAAGGAAAGAAGCAAGAATTTACAAAAAGACAAGGAGAAAGAAATGCGAAACAACAAAATGAAATGAATTGACGAAACGCAAAAATGGAACGAAATGGTGTTGGTGTTGGTGTTGGTGTTGATGCTGTTGTTGGTGTTGGCGTTGGGGTGCTGTTGTTGGTGTTGGTGTTGGTGGTGTTGTTGGTGTTGTTGGTGTTGGCGTTGGTGTTGGTGCTGCTGCTGCTGCTGCTGCTGCTGCTGCTGCTGCTGGTGGTGGTGGTGGTGGTGATGATGATGATGATGATGATGATGATGATGATGATGATGCTTTTGCTGCCGCTGCTGCTTTTGCTGCTGCAGCTTTTTGCTGCTGCTACTGTTACTGCAGCACTGATGCTGGATTTGCTGCCGCTGCTGTTGTTTGCCGCTGCTGCTTTTCCTGCCGCTGCTGCTTTTCCTGCCGCTGCTGCTTTTGCTGCCGCTGCTGCTTTTGCTGCTGATTTTACTGCAGCACTGCTGCTGCTTTTGCTGCCGCTTCTTTTACTGCAGCACTGCTGCTGCTTTTGCTGCTGCTGCTGCTGCTGCTTTTGCTGCTGCTGCTGTTGCTGTTGCTGCTGCCGTTACTGCTGTCTTTGCTTTCGCTGTTGCTGTTGCCTTTGCTTGCCTCTGCAACACTTCCTCGGGGGGTACTGCTTGGCCCGGCTTTCCTGTCTCGTCTTCATGCTATGACCGAAAGAATCATCATGGCAACCATCCTCCAACTCGCGGATCGGCCTGCGCGGCTTCGGCCTCTTTCTGCCGGATCTCTCGCAAGCGGTTGGTCCGGTACCTGCGCTGCGTTGGTTTTTGATCTTTTGATTTGGGGGGGGGGGGGGGGAAAGGGGGGGGTTCTCAAAAGAGGAATCGTTTTTTTTGGGGGGGAGGGGGCTTCTCAAAAAACAGTGCCCCTTCTTTGGTGCTCCTTTCCCTGTGGCCAAGGCGTCCATTGTGAAAGCTTGGGCCTTCCTTTCGGAGCCAAGGGATACATTGTGAGAACCTCAGGGATTCGGACGACCCAAACGCTTGGGCTGTGGGGGTTGCGTCTCGCCGCAAGCTGGCCACAGCTTGATGCAAAGCAACTGACAAGGAGTCAACCCAAACAAGCCATGAATCAAAACGGCCCTGTCGCACCTTACAACGAAAAAGGTATCAAAATGACCTTTGCATGGGCTGAAAACCACGAAAAAGCTTTGATATGTTCAACCACTAAATGAACAGTGACCCATGGTAATTTGGGGGCCAAGGATATTCATCAATCTCCAATTGTTGTTGTGACTGTCCACGTCTAAACTTCACCTACCCATTTCCATTCCTTGCTGACAACTCAGATATCGAGCTTGCGCACATGGAGTGGAAGGGCTTCCATTTCTTGGTCCGCACCTGACATCTGATCCAACTAAATGCCAAGATGCGTCCAGGTTCTCACAGTCTCACTCCAGAGACTGAGGTCATCACAGATCCCAGTACTATGGCTGGCAAGCCACCGATTCTCGACCTCCAACGTGCTTGGAGCAGCGAAAAAGAAGAAACACAAGGGAGCAGCGCCCAAAACCCATTGACCCTTGGTTCTACCAACACGACCGTAAATCTAGACATTGGCCTTACAATGAGCCCCACTAACATCGGGTAGTAGAAATGACCACAGGTGGTTTTGGGCGCTCACGTCTCTTTGGCTCAAGTCTTGAGGCGCGGTCGACCATTGGCTGGGCTTGAGTCTCACCGCAAGCCGGTGCATAGGAGTGGGATGCCAATGCTCCAAGCGAATTGGGTGGTCAAAATGAGTTGGTCCCTTTTATTGTCCCAAAAGGGAACCCAATGTTTTGACAATCTCCGAAATAGTCCGTGTTCGGGTCTCCCTCTGCCGTCATAGAAACTTGTACGGTTCTGGAGAAATACAGGTCAAGCTGAGACATGTCAGAACATTTTGACACACCGCTCATGTGTCAAGGTTGACAACTTGCGAGCCAAATGGCTTGCAATCCGACAAAATCCGCTGTCAAAGTCATGGAGAAGGATTGTGCCATCTTCATGTGTGGATTGATCAAGATTCCCAGCTGCCTCATGTTGTTTTCCTTTGTTTTTCTTATTTTTTCCCCCGCTTCACACGACGAAGCGTGAGCATTAACCTGCAGCGCTGCTTTGCAGAGCCGCTTTGAACTATGCCGCTGAACTAAGCAGGGATCTCTCTACTGGGCTGCCCTCAGATCCCCTGCTAAAAGCTTAACTTTTAGTGGGTCAAATGGAAACCCCCACTAAACACTAAAAGTCTAAAAGGCTAAGGGGATGGCTGGGAGCCACCAAGTCTACTGCTAGCCTCCAACTTCTTAGCCTCATGATCGCTCAGTCATGGAAGTGGGCAAGCGCGCAACTTCCGCTAGCACCTCAATCCCAGAGCTGTGATGAGCCGGGTTGGCCAAGATATGTGAAAACAAACAACCCTGGTCCCTTCAAGGAAACCAGAAAAAGCTCGGTCAAACAAAACTCTTGAAAATGGGTCCACCATTGAAGTTCCATCCCCAAAATCACTGTCTAGAATGTGTGAAACAAGGACTTGAAATTGGCCCCTGAGTCTCTGGCCGCTCTCTCCACTTCTTGCCGGAACAGCGCGGACCTGTCAAGTTCCAGAGCTCAGGTAACGGAACGGGAAGATATTCAGAAGACTCAGAAGACGAATCTAGTGGAGGGGTGCGACCGAGGGTACAACGTGCCCAGAACCTGGGCCCGGGCGAAGCTAAGGAAAGCCGACTTCGGGAGGAGCTGCGAGAGGCCGCTCTCTCCTGGATGGTCCAAATGGCAAATGCTGTGGTCATGCACCGCTGAGCATAACTACAGTGTGTGTATATCTATATATATATATGTATATATATATATATGCATATATGTATATATTATGTATATGCACATATATATATATATATATATATCCACACATGCCTGCTGGCTTTTCGTCTAATGGTCTTGGCCCGCGGCACTTTGCAAGCGCCAAACGGAGGTATCCAAGCACCGGGCAGCAACGGCCTGGGATAGACCTGTGCTCCGCCGTCCGTCGCTGGCCTGGCAAGTCAAGCCGTCCGTCGCGCGGGAAAACGAAAGCCAACCACCAGTTGTTCCCAAGAATTCGGGACCTCAGGTGAGGTGGTTCCGGTTTCCTGTTCTCCCCTCCAAACCCCCGTCTAAAAAGGCTGAGGTGGTGGTGTTCCTGTTCACTCCCCCCTGAACACTTCTACCCTCTGCATCCCGTCCTGCGACCTTGAGGGAGGCAATATCGATGCACCCTCCGAATGTCTGGAGGAGGGCAACGTCGAGACTTCCTGCGTCCTGCAGTGATTTGCCCGTTTTCACGGTGCCGTTGCGTTTCTCAAGATTGCCATGGTCATCAACCTCTTAACACAGGTTGCAGGCAACTGCAAGCAGGTTCCATGACCCATGGGGTTTCTCAAAATACTGCATGGCACCGCCGCACCGCTTTCCTTTGGCTTCCCTGAGAAAGGTACGCCTTTGGGGCCCATTCTGAGAATCTCCCCTTAGTTTCAAGGGAAACAAACAAAGTTTCAAGGCTCGGGAATTTGGCAACCGAAACTTTCCTATGCGATCCCAGGGCTCTTTCCAGCGCTCTTTCCTGTTTTTGGACTCGGGCAACTTACCCAGTGGGGTGTAATCCCCAGGAAAAATCCGCGCATCCTTGAACACAAAGTTTCATAAGTTTCATTTCCCAGTTGGGATTGGCGGCTTGTCTCAACCAGTCAAATCAGGTTTCATTCATCCCAACAAACGTGGCGATCTGCGTCGCCATTTTGCCCATCCACAGTCCATCCGGAGCTCTCGCCTTCGCCGCTCCAAAGTTCCGCCGATCTCGGCGTGGCAATGGTTCCCTGGGCCCTGGCCAAGGCCTCAGAGTCCAAGTGGGGTCGCTCAAAAATCGGGGAGCCCGGCCTTGGATGCTGCAACGGCCCCTCTGCAAAACGGTGTTGTTTTTGGGTTAAACGGAAAACACAAATAATTTGAACCAACAAGTTAAAGTCTATTGATCCAAGCCAATAGCAATCAAGCCCGACATGATGTGAGTCTCCTCTTGGGATTGCAAAGCAAGTGCCATCCAAAACAAGATCCAACTTTCGCTTGCCGTCTTCATTCTCCCTGGGTGTCAACATAACATGGGATATGGAAGCCCCAAAATGGCCACCGATTTTGCCCTTCTGGCTTCTCAAGTCAACCTCAAAAGGGTTGGTACCCTTAGCTTGCTGGGGCCGTATCGACCCCCAAGAAAAACCATCCAACTGCTTTCCTTTGTTCCTTTGGAATCCCATTCCCGGCTCATTCCATGTGACCATGGTTCAAAACCAATTGGGATCCCATTTTGGGGGATAGGTGAAATCACCACCCATTTCGGTCAATTTTAGTGGTTGGATTGGGATGTTCACTGAGCTCATCGCACCGAAGCCGAGCGAAGTGAGCTCAGGACTCCGCCGGTCGCCCCCACCAGGGTGGGGCCATACGTCGAGAAGCTGCGCTCGGGACGCTTGAAGACTGGCGGCCGAGGATTTGTGGGACTGAGCCCAAAGCGGCATCAACACCACCCCATGCTTTTTGGGTTTTTTTTTGGGGGGTGGTTGAAAGCAAAACACGCCCTTTTGTTTCTTCTTCTTCTTCTTCTTCTTTTTCGGGTGGTTGCAAGCAAAACTTCCCCCCCAACGTCATCTTGAACAAGCCCTCAAACCACCATTGTTCGCCCTCAAACTCTTGGAGCCATTGGCTCTTTGGTGGATCCCACCCCACTCGTTTGGTCGCCTGGAGGAGGAGCTTTGCCCCCCATGGGCCCAGGCTTCGGAGCGTCCGGCAGGGGACTTTTCCAGGGATGAGATCGGAAGGACTGCAGCATCTCATCCAGCGACTTGCCTCGATGGCCATGGCTCGTCAGCTTTAGGGTCTTCTGGTGTCCCTCGAAAAACCAACCCGAAAAAGGAAAACAAACAACAAAAACAAAAACAAAACATGCCGTCGAAAAAAAGCACAACCAAAATCTGGGCACGAAGAATGGCATCCTGCGCAATGGACAAAACAACCTGAAACTCAATCGCTCGTGATAAACCTCTGGATCAGTGAGCTTGTTCTAATTTGCCCAAATGGAACCGTCGAGCTATCCGCGTGGTCGAGGTACTTCTCGACAAAAACAATGTGGAATCCCAAGAAGGGTTTCTATGTGAGCAGCGCCCAAAACTGTTTGGTTCGTTTGCTCTCCCAACATGGTGATCACGCCTTGTTCATCATTAGGCCTTGCTATACTCTCAAACAAAGCAACTAGCAGCAGACACGAACATCTGGCGTGCGGAACCCATGAGAACCCACCCAAAACCCATAAAATCCCACAAAGGAACGCAGCACCCCATGGGAACCCACCCCAAACCCCTTGGATTCCGGGCCGAAGTAGTGGCACAAGGCTTCAGCTTCAGCCTCCGAAGCTGCAAACTTGGGCATTCGTATTTCAACTCGTTGGGATACCTGGTATTTTGAGCTTCGAGAGACACCATGTTTTTGAGTCATGGAAATCCCTGGTATATGGGGTTTTGAGGGACAGCATGAGTCCTGGAAGAAGCGATTTTTACTTCTGGGATTTGACTTACCTCCAGGAAATCTTGACCAAACTCATGAGTCTCGGAAAGGAGTCCAGCTGAAGGGATTTGAGAGGGAAAACTCAAGAACAAGGAAGAACACGCACCGAAAGCTCCAATTGATTCTCGAACGCGCCATTTCCCAGAAACAAATAGATTAGACTCTAAGGACCTTGGAGGAAAGCAGGAGAAAAGGGCCCTTCAAGGTCCGAAGGTTAGTTACTATTCCATCCTGCGGTACCATTGTTTTCCACGCCAGGTGTTTCGTGGTGTTCTGGAAAACAGGCTCTTTGGGAAGAATGAGGAAGCTACCGCTAGCAAAGTAAGTAGCGGTTGAACCGACGGGAGCGTATGGTGTCTATATGTTTAGTTCAAGAAGATCTTGCCTGCAAACTCTGGAGATTTGGCCTTGTCTCATCAAAATATGGGAACGCCTAATCTTTGATGTCCCATGCTCAAACCAAGCCCAAAAGAGAACAGCACCCTCAAAGCAAGACACGACCACATGAGTCATAATCAAAACCCGGTACTAGCATGGTCTACCATATACCATGTCAAGAATACCAAGGCGGATATCCGCACCCAGATATGGTTGGGACTATATACCTTATCAACCTTCATCTACCCGAATCGGTTTCGAGGAAGTGGCGACCACCTAAGGAAAGCCTTTCAAATGCCAACTCCGCCTTCTGCTCTCGAAGAATCTGCTCTTGCCGCTGCGCAGCCATTGGATGCGCAGTCGAGCCTCGGGTTTGACACACCCCCACTGGAGGAGCATGCAGAGGATCCGTGGATGCTGCTGGGTTCATGAAAATGGCATCCTCGAAATTACCCTCTGAATGCTGGCGTTTTGACGCGAGCCCTTCCAAATGCAACGACTGCCATTGACACGTGAGAGCAGTGCCCAACCCCAATGATTGGTTCCACCAAGGTGTTTTTGTTGGTTGTCTTTTATAGGCTGCACCAGGATCCCCATGAAACCGGGTAGAAAAGGAAACCCGTTTGGGCGCTCGCTCATGCGAAAATGCTGAGGCACAAGCCCATGTCAACAACCACGCCTCACTCCGGAAAGGCGCGGGTCTCCCAAAGTCACAAGACTGCTATGGATGCGCAACATCTCAAAATCCTGGCAGCTGGGATTGGTAAAAC